AAATCAAAGAAAATACCGCATAGTATCCGTAGGAACGGTAAAAGTACGGCGAGTCAGTGGAGGCAAACTGAGATCCGAGGTGCTTTTCGAGTGAATGATATTACGAGAGCCGCGGACTCTGAAATTCAGAAGGCTCCGGCTGTTGATATTTGATTTTGAACCCATACCTGTACTTCTTGTCTTTCTCAAGAAGCCATTCAGACTGACGTGGATTGTATGCCTTATGAGGTGCCAGATCATATTCAATTGNTNGCTTTCCGGCGGGCCCGTCATTTCACAAGTTTTGAAATTTTCAAAAAACACATAAGGGGGGGGACCCTTATGTGATTTTTTTCTATCAAAAAATTTTTTTCGAGTTTTTTCGATCTTATTAGATCAAACAGACAAACAATCCAAAAAAAAAACAAAAAAAATGGAGAAAATTATTTTTAGAGCTCAAAATTTGGCTCAAAAATACAGAATTTTTGATACTGGGCCTTCCGGGCCGGGCCCGGGCCTTGAAAATTTCCTCAGGCCCAGAATTTGACAAGTATGCTTTTGTTAGAAGTAGGCGTTAAAAGTGAAAGTCGCTGGTGAGCTATCTTCCATTAGGTTAAATTGTTTTGTGCGATTTCTTCATGTGCGTGTGCAATGTGTTGTATTGACTCCTCCTCCCCCGTCCCTGGAGAATGTGAAAACTTCCAGGATGCTTCTATCAGTTTTATCCTTCATTTTATTCAGTTTTTTTTGCAGAAAAAAATATTTGTATTCTCTTCTTGTTTCATCTCACTGTGTTTGCATCTTTTGCTTATTTTTCCGATTTTTTCCAGAATAATTCACAAATACTTGTTGCAAAAAACTTTGTGTACCGTATGATTGCAAAACCGTTGCGATGCCACTGCCCAATTCAAGCCCCGCGCCTTTCGCACTATGGCGGGAACTCCATTCGCCTCGATTTTTAACCGCGAATTTAGCTACAGATGCCAATTTTCATTCATTTTCGTAATTACTTTATCACCAAGAGAGCCATGCGTACTGCTTGGTTTCTCACTCTATTCACTTACCTACTAATCAAGGTAAATTGATATATTTTTAACATTTTTTGATTATTCTATTTTTTTTTCAGAACACAACTCAAGCTCCTGTCACTAACACAACATGCGATCTGGAAAAGGAATTCGATTGCGGGAGCGGAAGCCTTCGGTGTATACCTGCAGAGTGGCAGTGCGACAACATAGCGGATTGTGACAATGGAAAGGACGAGTTGGGATGTACATACGCTCATCACTGTGGAAAGGGATTCATGCTATGCAAAAACACGGTGTGTGTGGGTGGCGAGTTCAAGTGTGACGGAGAAGACGACTGTCGTGATGGAAGTGACGAACTCCACTGTGAATACAATTCTCGTAGATCTCGTTCCGATCGTGTCGCGCCTTCACCGTTCCCAAACACCTTTGTGGGCCATAATGGACCAGAATGCCATCCACCAAGGATGCGGTGTCGTTCTGGACAGTGTATTCAGGCTGATCTTATTTGTGATGGACATGCTGACTGCACGGGGGGCGATGATGAAGTCAACTGCACGAGACCAAACATTATTGGAATCCAGATGCTGCCGGTTCACACCGATAGTCCATTGGCTGATCCTACGCTTTTCACTAATGATGAATACGAGTAAGCTGAATTTCGTAACATTTCAACTATCGGTAATCTATTTTCAGAAAGACGAATGCCGCACTGGCTATACGATGTGCTTCAGTGGTGACGTTTGTATTCCAAACAGTTTCCTCTGTGACGGCGATGCAGATTGCGATGATAAATCCGACGAGCTCAATTGTGAACTCAATGCTCCAAATGAGGAACAATTCCTTTCTGGACAAGCTGATCACATGCATTCTTGCTCAGCTGCTGGCAAGTTCGCCTGTGAAACTAAAGGAACCGAGATGGTTGTGTGCCTTCCAATGAACTCGACCTGCAATGGAATCAAAGAATGTCCGTTTGGAGACGACGAATCTCGCCATTGCTCCGAATGTGCTAGAACGCGTTGTGATCATACCTGCATGAACACTCCACGTGGAGCCAGATGTATATGTCAAGAAGGATACAAACTCGCAGATGACGGAGTTACGTGCGAAGACGAAGACGAATGCGCCACATTCGGACACATTTGCCAGCACTTCTGTGAAGATAGACTTGGTTCGTACGTTTGCAAGTGTGCCAATGGATATGAACTAGAAGACGATGGTCACTCTTGCAAGTATGAGACCTCGACTACTTCCGAGGGATACCTTTTCATTAGTCTCGGAGGAGAGGTTCGGCAAATGCCTTTAGCTGATTTCCATGATGGTTCTAACTACGCTTCCATCCAAAAACACTCAGGACATGGGAACATCAAGTCAATCGACTTCATGCACCGTAACAATAAAATGTTCATGGCGATTTCTGACGACCAAGGTGAACCAACCGGAGAATTGGCGATGTCTGAAAACGGCTTGCTCAGAGTTCTTCGTGAAAACATTATCGGAGTAGGAAACGTTGCTGTTGACTGGATCGGTGGTAACCTGTTCTTCACACAAAAATGTAAATCGAGGTAAAAGGAAATTTTGAGAATATGCATTCTTCAGATCCGTCACCAAGCGTCGGCGTATCGGTGTGCACAATGAACGGAATGTTCTGCCGCAGAGTCATTGAGGGTCAAACACAAGGACAAACATATCGTGGTCTCGTGGTTCATCCAATGCGCGGAATCATCGTCTGGCTAGAGTCCTTCCAAAAACTTCATCGTGTCATGATGGCAAATATGGATGGTTCTCAGGTATGATTCATATCAGTAGAAATATATCTTGTCGAATCAAAAATTTACAGGTTCGTGTTCTTGTCGACAACAAACTTGAATCTCCGTCGGCTCTTGCCATTGACTACATCCGCCAGGACGTTTATTTTGGGGATGTTGAACGTCGATTGATCGAGCGTGTTAATATCGATACCAAAGAACGACGAGTCGTTGTCTCAGAAGGAGTGCATCATCCATTCGATATGGCTTATTTCAACGGATACCTTTACTGGTCTGATTGGTAAGAATCAAAAGCAAACTGCTAATTTTACTGTTCACTTTTTTAGGGGAAGTGAGACTTTGAAAGTTCAAGAGCTGTCCCATCACCATTCAAGTGCACACGTCATTCACTCGTTCAACCGTTTCCCATATGGTCTTGCTATCAACCACTCGCTTTACCAAACTGGTCCTCCAACAAATCCATGTCTGGAGTTGGAATGCCCTTGGCTCTGCATCATTGTACCAAAGACTGATTTGATCACCACCGCCAAATGCGTGTGTCCAGATGGTTATGGATATTCAATTTTCGACAACTCATGCGTCCCACCCACGACAAATGAGGAGAAGAATAAACTTGAAAACCTATCACACATCGGCGCTGCGTTGATGGCGGAATACTGTGAAGCAGGTGTGGCATGCATGAACGGAGGAATGTGCCGCGAACTACAAAACGAGCACGGAAGGACTCATCGTATCGTTTGTGATTGCGAAGAACCATACGACGGCGAATTTTGTGAACGGTTGAACCCAGAAATGCTCGCAGCATTGGAAGAAGCGGGAACACCTGCCGGAATCATTGCTCTGGTGCTTATCTCTCTTCTTATTCTTGTGGTGATAGGATGCTCTGCGTTCTTCTGGTTTGCTCAAAGAGAATTGACCAACGATGTGATCTCCACTGCTCGCGTCCACGTGGATAACATGGCTAGAAAGGCGGAAGATGCTGCTGCTCCATTTGTCGATAAGCTGAGAAAAGTAACCGACAGACCATCAAGCTCATCACCAAAAGACGGATGTCATTCGGCAACAAACGTAAACTTTGTTACTGATGAGACAACTGCCGAGAGAAGAGTTCGCATGCAGACATCACCGGTAAGCAATTCATGAAAAAACGGATAGTTCAGCATTTCAACAGTTTGCCATGTTTCAGTCATCGTATGGTAATCCACTATACGACGAGATCCCAGATGTGTCATCCGGCTTCACGATATCCTCGTCAGCACCGTTTGCTGGCGTCATTCGTTTCGAAGATGACAATAGCTTGTTGTGATTTCTACAATCTTTCTAATTTGGATGTCTGTAAAGTATATTTATTTTCATCTATTTATTGCATGAACCTTGAATTGCTATTTCTTGTTTCTGTTTTTTTATATGCTCATCTGATAGTGAGAGAGAGAGAGAGGGAGAGAGATTGTCTGGAGTGGGCGGACAGTGGGGAACTGCTAGAGCAACAAAAAGTGCAGAAAATTGTGGAACGCTGGCGAGTTCGGCACCTCCCACTTTTAGCAACTACTCATTCGAATATCATTTGCTAGAGTCTCACTTGCTAGAATTGCCTCATGTTCTAGAAATTCCCCGATTTCAGTCTCGTTTACTAGAATTTTTGGGCCTATAGTCCGGGCATCTGCTTTGATATTATCAGCTATTTACTCATCTGCTATTTTAGCTCGTCTGCTAGAGCTCGTCTGCTATTTTTCTAGGTAATGACCTAATTTTTCTATGTCACGACCTCATTTTTTCTATGTTACGACATAAGTTTTCTAGATCATGACCTAATTTTTCTATTTCACGACCTAATTTTTCTATGTCACGACCTCATTTTTTCTAGGTCACGACATAAGTTTTCTAGATCATGACCTAATTTTTCTATGTCACGACCTCATTTTTTCTAGGTCACGACATAAGTTTTCTAGATCACGACCTAATTTTTCTAGGTCACGTCCTAATTTTTCTATTTCACGACCTCATTTTTTCTAGGTCACGACATAAGTTTTCTAGATCACGACCTAATTATTCTAGGTCACGTCCTAATTTTTCTATTTCACGACCTCATTTTTTCTAGGTCACGACATAAGTTTTTCTAAATCACGACCTAATTTTCGGTAAATTATTATTTACAGGATAATTCTAGAAAGGTTAGAGTGAATTGCTTCAAAATAGATTTTGATCATCTCACCTTGTTAGGCCTTCGATGCTATTCAAGTGTGGTTCGAACGTGAGGTGAATTGGAGCGATCTTCATTTGGTTCTTCTCGAGAAAATCGGCCACAACCTTCGTTCCACGTGTTGAGACGAGTGAACACGGATGACCTAAAGTCAAAGATTGTTTTAACGAAATCCCGCTGGCACTGAAAAGATTGGACTCATCTGGGTTGAGTAAAATCTGAAAAATCGTCATGTTTTAAAATGTTCCCAATGAAAAAATTCTCGTTGAAATCGGAATTCGTATCAAATTAGGCGACGGAGCTGTGAACGAGCTCCACAGCTGAAATATATAGAATTCCTCACACTTCGGATTCATTCATTTCCATTCTGTTGCTCTATTATTTGTTGTTTCTCGATGAGTTTTTGTAAATACTCTAAGCTAATGCCTTCATTCTGACAGAAGAGAATCGGGCAATTACTCTTTGACTACACCACTCTTTGACTACAAAGTCTCTTTGACTACATTTATCTCTTTGACTACACTTGTCTCTTTGACTACAAAGTCTCTTTGACTACACTTTTTAAAATTTTAAAATTTTCTGCAGTTTTTGTGGGCGTTCTTACAAAATATAAGAAGAATTTGAGCCTAAGCCTATAATTTTAAACAAAAAACTGACAATTCCAAAAATACATCACAGTGAAAAAAGTACTGAAATTCGCGAAAATCAGCAAAATTCTCACTTTTTTTCGCTGAGATTTCCAAAATTTTACTATTTTCTGTAAAAATCAAAGGCTTAGGCTGAAACGGTTACCGGAAAACTGGTGTTTTAGCCTAAGCCTACAATTTGAGACAAAAATCGGAAACTCCAATAAATTCAGTCAAAAAGTACTATAAAACAAAAAAGTGTAGTCAAAGAGAATGTGGGGTCAAAGAGTAGGTGTAGTCAAAGAGTGGTGTAGTCAAAGAGTAATTGCCAGAGAATCGGGAAAAAATATACAGTAATACCGGGAAGGAACAGGGTAAAGATTAGAATTGGACGAGATTTCTGTGAAAACACGACAACAGGCGAGGTTCAGAACCTCGATAAAGGGTACAGAAGAAAAAAAAAGATTGGTTGGATGATGGTGATACCCATACGTAACAATGGAGAGAAGGGTCATGAAAGAGAATTAGGACTATGCTATGAAAGGAAAGATGAAAATCTTAGAGAATATCATCTATTGGTTACAAAATATACAACAAAGTCTACTTACAATACCACGAAAAATATGTGGCAGCTTTACAAGAGAAAACCTAAAGATGAAAAAAAGTTATTCGGTGATTCCCATCGCTCGCAAATCAGCAGCTTTGTCAGAAGCCAAATATTTGCGTCGATAAGTTTCGATCATGTTCGCTCTTTGAATTTCATAGTAAGAGAGCTCTGCTTCACCAGAAGATGAACTTAACTTTGTCCAAGTTCTTTGGCGAGTTCTATCTGGTTCTTGGACGACTTCCACATGTTCCTCATATTCCAATTCATTATCAGTCTGAAAATATGAGATGTATATAATTTCATTGTTCTCCTGTTAAACACTCACGTCATCAGATAAATCCTCATCCAGCACGCCCGGTATGAGTGAGGCGTTTAGGCCCATGCGACCTTCTAGAATATTCTCAATAGTCGATTGAGCTGATCCTGACTGTCTCAGATCTGCTAATATCGTCTCTGGTGACATTTGAGGGAACATTTCTAGAACTGTTTCCAACATGGACTGAAGTTGCTCTTGCGTTGGCTCAGCAGCTCTTCCGAAGATATTCCCAAAACTTGAGCCAACTTCCACTGTGAACGAGGGGAGTGTGAAAAATCCAAACGTCCTGCCGTTGAAACGGAACATTGTGTTCCCGTTACCAGAATCTGTTCTGCTGGCTTCTTCCTGTGGGGAGGGTATCACATATCTACATGTTGGACACGAAGAATCCTGAGCAAGCCACCACATGAGACACCAGTCGTGGAACTGATGAGAACATGGAAGACGTCTTGAAGTTCCAAGCAACTCCCAACACACAATGCACCTATCGTCAGAATTGGCAGCTTTTACACTTGGATAGGCGCTCTCGATGTGCTCGAAGATTTTCTTATGTGTACGATGTCGACCCAGCTGCTCTCTCATGCAATTGTAGGTGAGTTTCATGTGATACAAGAAGAAGATGCTCGTCAAGTTGAGTCCAGGTGCGAAGACGAAAAGTTGAGCATAGCTCAGAAATTGGAGAAGCTCACAAGCGAAATTGGTGGCAAGCTCGAGCCAGTAGTTGAAGTGACGAACTGAATCAGGATTGAAAGAGAATACGCGAGACGAAGAGATGCATCGGAAGAGAATGTAAGTAGATCGGAAAACAGCGAGAAGGCACTGAAAAGTTATTTTACTACTCAAACAGTTGCAAACTAACTTACATCGAAATACAGAAGAACTGCTGGTTGCCATTCCAAGTGTTGTTGAAATCGAGAAACCATGAATGTCATGGCAATTGAAACGAAGAATAGAAAGAGTGAGATGAACGAGACTCTTTGGCTTCCACGATCACATGAGGGTGAAGTCTGAAATTGTGCATTAGCTGTGAACTTCGACACGGGATATCCAAACATACATATTTTAGTCTCTGACAAGTCACAAACTGCAGATGCGAGAGAAAACCACAAACACCTCCCCAGATCATCCACGGCATCACCCGGTGCCCTTTTTGTGGTCCAGTCACAACTGACAAGTATACGATTCTAAATGAATTAGATTAGGTGCTTCTCGAAACAAATTATTCTTTCGACTCACGTGAGAAGAATGTAAGAGAGGAACGCCTGACGGGCAGCGACTTCCTCTTGTCGAGACAACTCCTTGAAGGTTAATTTGATTATTAGCTTCGTGCACATTGCTAGAATTGCGAAATACGAGTTTATTGCAACCTGAAAACATTTTATATTTGAATGAAAACAGTAAACCGTACTCACCCAGATCAGTGTAGTATCCGTTAAAATATAATGAGCCATTTGAAATACTGTGCTTCCAGCTATCGTATCAATATTTATACCAAATGCCGTTGTGAGTCGAGTGTTGTTTCGAAGTTCTTCCTCCAACAGCCTTTTGATTTCAGGCTGGGAGTGAAAGTGGGTAAATACTGAAGCTGAGGCGATGAAAGCGACACAGAGTGACAGCGCCAGGTACCCTTCTACCGATGGGAATGTGGATCGACCGATTATATTTGCGATCCCCAGGGGCACCTGAGGATGACGAAGAGCTTGCGGGTTGCCCCTGTTCATCGCTCTGAAATGAAACTATCAAATTGATTTCTGGATAAGTTTTTTTTACGATGGAGCAGAAAACAATAAGGTGTGGGAGGACATATGTTCAGTCTAATGCATGCGCGTCGATACTCAGCGCGCTCAACTACGGTATTCGCGTTAGAGAACATTTACTTTACGTCCTGAAAAAAACACCGTCGGTGAGAAACAGCGAGAAACAAAAGAAGAATGGGAGTCGTTCAAAGGTCAGTAAAAAACAGCAGAAGAATGCTCGTAAACTTTCGTTGCACATAAAACCAATCCCGTATTCTGACTCTTTGGTACAACTTTCGCTTTCCAATTATTTCCTATCTGGCACAAGATGAATAGCTTTATAACGTACTTCCGATGAGATTAGAATATACAAACGAAGACACAGACCTAGATATTTCTAAGAAAGACTCCAATGACGTCAGCTGGGAAATATAATAATGAACAATATAAATGAACTATCAGCCGGAGTCATTCCAAGAGGCTTCCGTAAACAAGAAACTTGGCAGAAACTCGAGAACATCTAATTCGCGTTGAAAAAAGGAAATTTTTTGAAAGTCTCAATATAATAGAGGTGAATTGGAAAACATCGACCGCATAGCAGCATCCCCTAAGCACCGATTATCTGAGATTTCCGTTTTCAAAAATGGTGAAAAAGAAGGAAGAAGTAAGAGAATAGTTAGAGAAAAAAGAAAGGTTCGTCTGCTGATCTGGGTCTCTCATTTTTGGGAATTGGCGATAGTCAAGAAAATGAAAAACAAATTGTCAAGTTGACGTCACATGAGCGGTTAGAATAAGAGAATCAAGCTTCATTACGGCTACACCTTAATTAGAATGATTGCGAGTGTGTCATGAATCAGACTTGGGAGTGATTATAGACGATGGGCAGGCAGCAATAAAGTTTACTTCTCTAACGAATGAAATTCCAGGAGTTGAAAAAAAACAAGCAGTCGCAAGAGAGCTCTCTAACCTCTCTGGCTCTTCGTATACTCTTTTAAACACACAGAGAATATTGATTTTGACGAGAAAGAGGCGGAAAGATGCGCACACACGCCAGCGAGAAGGCCGTCACTGAGAAGGGAAAAGAAATACGGCAGGAGGAAACGAGAGTTGCTACTGGTTTCCAAATTGTCCTTCCACTTTTTTGCTGATATTTTAGACGACAAAGAAAAATGAGAAGGTCGGGGGGGGGGGCAGACTTTTGGCTTGACAAGGCGGCATGCTGTGTTTATCATTTACTTCTCCCGGGGGAAAGGTCACTCGTTTTCTGCAAATGATTCTGCCAAGTGGTCGACCAGTAAAACCTTCAATGTTTTTCTATCCCACTACTAATGGAGAAGAGATGAAGAGGAACCCCTTTCTGTTTCAAACAATTTATGATCTCTTTCTGAAGATAATTAACTATAAGAAATGGCACGAGTTTCCACAGAAACGACACACCACTAATATGTTATCAGTAGACTCTGACCCTTAAAAAGTGAGAATTGAAACGAGTGAGGAAGCAAAAAAAGTTATTTGGAATGGTGTCAGTATCGAATTGGGCAAAAGTTCAAGTTTCTGGCGAGAACAGTATAGAAACTCGTTCTGGGCAGTATTTGTCAGGGTCAATTTTATTTGAAATGAAAATGGGTCACGATGAATTTCTTAGCATCCTGTGGAGTATTGAGAAACGAAGCTAGAATGTTTTAGATCACCTCAAAAAAACCTAAAGAACGGAAAACCGTCAATCAACAACGACTGATACCAGATGTGCCAGGCAATACCGGCACGTGATCGAAACAACCAATAACAGAATGAGAGCGAGACGCCCCGACTCAAAAAACGTTATCAGTTCGATTTAACGAAGATCGACAACGGCCCAGTCAGCCGATGTTTTGTTGTTATTGTTGTTAACATTTTTTCGATCAATGTCCAATTTTCAACGAGGAAAAATGGGACTATAGGAATATAAATCAATTTTTCATTGCTTTTTTCCGGAAGATCTTTCCCATTTTTATAATTCACAGAAATAGTGAGAAACTTGAAATTAAACATGAAATTAGTAAAGTGCACGAAAAAAAAACATTGCGGTTTGTTGTCAAACCAGCGATTTATTTTTTACTGATGCATTCTAAAATATGTCGGAACAGTATTCTACATCGAAAATTGTTTAGATGGATTCTGGGTCGGCGTCGACTCCCTTGAACCAATGTCCGCACTCGCATCTCTTTGGCTCTCCCTTGGCAATAGTCATGAAGTTGACATGTCCTGAGTCTTGCTCGCCTAAATTTTCAATTTATCACATTAAATTTTCGAAATAAAACTTACACATGCATCCGATGATTCTGAAGTCGTAGTGAGATGGGACCAAATTTGGCTTCTGCTTGGTGGAAGCCTCGGCACGGTAGTAGACCTTTGGCTCGTAACGCTGAAATATGGTTCTCAATTAGAAAACATCTTGGTTTAGCGTGGGTGTGCTTATTTTTTAAACGGTCCCTCAGATCAGCTTCGACGAATATTAGTTCAGTATCAGCTAAATTCCAAACAAGGCAATGCTTTTTAGAATATTAGACGACTCACAATTAGCTAAGTTTTGACATCATGGGGAAAAAAGTTGTGCATCTCAAATGCGAGATTCGGTTAGTTTTTCAATTGAAAACCCGATCTTGAAGGTTTAAAAAAACTCACATCATCTCCAGCAAGACGAGCAAGAAGCATCTTCTTTTCGCGTCCAGTGGCGTGCTCAAGTGGATCCGGGTAGTATCCGTAGTCTTCTGGTGATGCCTCGGTGGCCAAGGTACGACGGGCCACGGCAGCTGGGGCAACAAGTTTCTTGGAGAGAGCGGCAACGGCCGTCTTAGCAAGCTGAGCCATCTGAAATCATAATTTTTTAAGCATGAACACAGAAGTTGTGATAAATTTTATTGATTGAAGGTTTGAATTTGACATTTATCTACCGAAAACCGAAAAAAGCGCACAGAAAGTGTTCGAAATGAAGCGGAACCACCATGATTATAGCATGATGTTCTTTTTTAATCAATTGTTCTTTCAATAATCAATTGGTCCTTCAATAACAATAGAAAAACGAGTAAAAAGCACTTGGCACGATTTACGGAGCCTGCGACGGGCGTACACTCGGCAAACACTGCACGCTTTTGCCGCGACGCACAAGACGCTCCACAGCGAAATATACCGTAGCTTGAAGATTTGAATTCACTGTGACCAGTCGGTGCGCGCGGTTAAAATTCTGCTATTCGTGGCGGCAAACGAATGCAGTAGAATGAGATAAAGTCATTCGCAGTCTTTGTTGTCGTTTTCTCACTTACAATTGTTTCTTCTAGTATCGATCTTAAGTGTTCCTCTAAAGATGTGTAACGAATTGTTTAAATATCCTTTCGAATTTGAATTTTTGTAGAAAACCTCATTATCAGCAAACAACCTACTTATTGAATTCGAAAGATTTTTGTCGAGCCCCTCCCCCAGTGAAATCAATTGTTGGTCTACGCAAACTTTCTTACCAGATCCTATGTTAAAGGTGGTGTGCGGTGAAAAATTTTATTGCTTTATTTGGTGCAGAAATCCACGCCGATTCCCATAAAAACAAAGAAAAATTCAAAAAAAATTCCTTCATTGAGAAAAACGGCATCGAAAAGTCAAAGTGGGATCCGGTGGCCTAGCGGCCAGGTGTGAGTTTTCTAGGCCAACTTCCGGTAAAAACGCGCGAAATTCCAATTTTTATTGATTTTAAGTGTTTTCTCTGATTTTTGTCAGGTTTTTTCATACAGCTGGGAGAAAATTAAAGGTGGGGGGACAGGAGATTTTTCGTAGTTTTTTTGTAGCTAGAGTATGCATTCTACCGTCACGGTGTACAACGCTTAATGTCACTCTGCGTACAGCTGTCATCCTCGCCTTTATGTATGCAATCGGGCGTGCGCTTTCTCTTTGCCCGCGTGGCTCAGTCGGTAGCGGCGTCTCTTTGAACGGAATCTTTGAACGGAATTTCGAGAACATTATTTTTTCATGTCCCCCCACCTTTAACAAAAAAATTTTGAAATCTTTAAAAAACATCAGAGAAAACACTGAAATTCAATAAAAATTCGAATTTCGTGCGCTTTTACCGGCATTTGGCCTAGAAAACTCACACCTGGCCGCTAGGCCACCGGATCCCACTTTGACTTTTCGATGCCGTTTTTCTCAATGAAGGAATTTTTATTTGTTTTTATGGGAATCTACATGGATTTCTGCACAAAATAAAGCAATAAAAATGTTCACCGCACACCACCTTTAATACTAGAAGGAAACCAAATCGTTATATAGTTGTCAATAATCAAAACGAGATTTCCGTTATTAAAGCATACTTGCAACGGGCCAGGCTTTTTTCAGAATTCCCAGGGTTCGTCTCGGCCCGGGTTTTCAGGAACAAATTTTTCCTGTCTTTTCAAAAAAATTTTTCGGGGCCAACTGAAAAAATGGACGATTTTTCTGTCAAGTAAAAAACTTTTAAAGATAAAAGTGTTCATAAAAAATAGTTTTTTTCACAAAAGAAATTTTTTAAAAGTCTGAAGTTTCAAAAAAAATTCAAATTTGGAAAACCCGGGCCCGCCGGGCCCTGATTTTGCAAGTATGATTAAAGTCTACCGTATTTGGAGACATCTAACGTGTGTTCGGTTCTTTAGGTATTCGAAAACATTCATCCTGAATTTATGTTAGTCGTTGTCTCGCGTCTTTCTCTCGTTTTGCTCTCAACCCCTGGATATAGTCATTAATCCGGGTATCATCTACCCTATAGACATGTCTTATTTCGCAATGCCAGATGGCCTCCGCCACCACCGTAGTCTAGGCTATGTTAGAAGGGTCGCCTTTGTCCTTGGCCGAGCGCACAAACATCGCTCTCACTGACCCGAGTGGCACTGACACTCTCTGGTCAGTCGTTTCAATGTGACAGATGTGACGAGCAAGAAGAAGCCGATTGTTGTCTTCTTTAGTCTTCCATACCACATTTGCGCTGTTTTACCCGCGACAGAATATCTAATTGCGAAAGAGAGATGCTGGGTCGACCAATTCTTCCCTACTCTTACTCGCCTTTCTGCTTCCATTCTCCAATTCGGTCGATAAATAGCTTCTGCCTCTAGGGCTCAGCGCCCTTGCTCCCTGGTCGTAATTGGCCTTTTTTCGCAATGTCTCTTGTTTTCCTCTATTTCGCAACTCTCTTGAGAGCGTGTCTCTTGCATGTCATGGGTGTGCAATTGGATAGGTTTCGTTAGAAAGTCATAAATTTTATAGTTCCACACACCCTCCCCAATTTGTCTAACGAATTCTCGTATTTTGGTCTGTTATTCAGTTTTCCCCAACTGAATTAAACGGCGAATCCAATCTACCATAAAATCCCCGACTATAACTGATGGTGGCCGTGTCACCGCGCTGTTGGATTTCTGTACTCTTTACCGCATAATCATTTTCTGTCAACCACGATTTCACTTCTATTGCTGGAATTGTCATTGTCTGTTTTCAGGTCTGTATTCAACATGCGTGAGGTCATCTCTATCCACGTTGGACAAGCCGGAGTCCAAATCGGAAATGCTTGCTGGGAGCTCTACTGCCTTGAGCACGGAATCCAGCCTGATGGAACTATGCCATCTGATCAACAAGCTGATGGAGAATCCTTCACCACGTTCTTCTCTGATACTGGAAACGGAAGATACGTCCCACGATCGATTTTCGTTGATTTGGAGCCGACCGTTGTTGGTAAGAAAATAATAAGTAACTGCATCATTTAACGAGAAGAAACATTTCAGATGAGATCCGAACTGGAACATACAAGCAACTTTTCCACCCAGAGCAGATGATCACCGGAAAGGAAGATGCTGCTAATAACTACGCTCGTGGACACTATACCGTTGGAAAGGAATTGATTGATACCGTTCTCGACAGAATTCGACGTCTTGCTGACAACTGCAGTGGACTTCAAGGATTCTTCGTGTTCCATTCTTTCGGAGGAGGAACTGGATCTGGATTCACCTCCCTGCTCATGGAAAGACTCTCAGTCGACTACGGAAAGAAATCCAAGCTTGAATTCTCCATCTACCCAGCTCCACAAGTGTCTACCGCTGTCGTTGAACCATACAACTCTATCCTCACAACTCACACCACTCTTGAGCATTCTGATTGTGCATTCATGGTTGACAACGAAGCTATCTATGACATTTGCCGTAGAAATCTCAGTGTGGATCGACCAAGTTACACTAACTTGAACAGAATCATTTCTCAAGTTGTGTCTTCTATTACCGCATCTCTTCGCTTCGATGGAGCGCTCAATGTCGATCTGAATGAGTTCCAGACCAACTTGGTTCCATACCCAAGAATCCATTTCCCATTGGCTGCATACACTCCACTCATCTCCGCTGATAAGGTAACATTGAAAAATACTGGCTTTTTCGCATAACCTTTTTTCAGGCTTACCACGAGGCACTCTCCGTCAACGACATCACCAATAGCTGCTTCGAGCCAGCGAACCAAATGGTGAAGTGTGACCCACGTCACGGAAAGTACATGGCTGTTTGCTTGCTGTACAGAGGAGATGTTGTTCCAAAGGATGTCAACACCGCCATTGCTGCTATCAAGACCAAGAGAACCATCCAGTTCGTTGACTGGTGCCCAACTGGATTCAAGGTTGGAATCAACTATCAGCCACCAACCGTCGTCCCAGGAGGAGATCTCGCTAAGGTTCCCCGCGCCGTGTGCATGCTCTCCAACACCACCGCCATCGCTGAAGCCTGGTCCCGATTGGACTACAAGTTCGATCTCATGTATGCCAAGCGCGCCTTCGTTCACTGGTACGTCGGAGAAGGAATGGAGGAAGGAGAGTTCACCGAGGCTCGTGAAGACTTAGCCGCCCTCGAGAAGGACTACGAAGAGGTTGGAGCCGACTCCAACGAGGGAGGAAACGAAGAGGAAGGAGAGGAGTATTAAACCAAGTTTCATCAGTTACCGCATAATACATCAAATTCTGCTTGAAGTGCTCTCATCTGCTATTCTCTTTTTAAATAAACCTAATTCCAATGTACTCAAATGTAATCTCAACGCTTGCTTATCTTCACGATAAATTATTTCGACGCAATTACTGTTGTTTTTGAAATGACATAGAAAAACTACAGCTCACATTCAGCAGAGCTTTTAGGAGGAATGGATTTCACTGAGATACACAAGCGATCTCGACGGAAAAAATTCCAGCAGATACATCAGGATCGTAAAGATGAAATGATTCAGCAATTGGGACGAAGGTTCCATAATCAACCTTCAACATCAGCCACTTACCCCTCCGCTGTAGAAGATATCCCTCTTCCTTCAGAAGTGCCTAATGTTTTCGGAGCTCCACCTCCGTTAACAAACGCTGATTTTCATAGAAACTTTCTAGTGGATCCAGACGTTGTTGTGTCACATTCTGCATCATTAATACGTTCGAATAGACATATTGTGAAAGCGGAAGATGCGGAACAGTATATGATGGTATCAAGGGTTTGCAAACTTGAAAAAAAAAATTTTTTAGGAACGGGTCGGAACTACTGCGGAGAGGGTTCTCGAAGACTTCAACTCTAGAGTTATCAAACCTTTGAAAGCCAAAAGACGTCTTCAAATCGATGTGCCTTATATCGACCATCCTCTTCATTCGATGAGGAGTAAAACTCCAGAAAGGAAAGAGAACGAGGAAGATAGTGACTCGGAAATCAGGTCATCTGATTCTTCAAGTGATGCTGAGTATGGATCTGATGTTGAAGAAGAACCAGATAGTTGTAGACGTAAAAAGAGAACTCACAAGATTCAAAAAGCAGATTCTTCGCAAACAAAAGTTGAAGAGAAAGAGAGACAAAATACACTGCTGAGAATGGGAATCGAACGAAAAAGGAATCATCCGAACGCAATTGATCCCCATATTTCATATAACGAAAAAGGGCTAGGAAATGATAGTCCAGAGTGTAGATGCCCTTTTCCTATTCGTAATCGTGGACTGAAACATGGATACTATGCTGGGGAAAACCAAGTTCTGAAATGCAGTAAAAAGTAAGACCCCCAATACATTTCCTTTTCAAATGCCTCTCAAAATTTAGTGATCGTGCGAATCTACATTACTATACTCTACATGTGACACCTGCACCGAATGAATCGCAGATTCAAAAAACGCAGATGCTCATCAATGGAATGGAGTATCATTTTGAAGGGTTCACTATGGTTACACATGCTCCATTACCTGATTGTATGACTAGACGTCCCGTCTTTAAATACAGTATCGATTACGAGTTTCAGTTAATAGAAGAATTCATGCCTACTGAAGTGAGTTTCCTAAATATCAAAATAGACATTCGCATAGATCACGTTTTCAGTGTTTCGACCCAGAAGATTGCAACTCGATTTTCGAATACATATTCCATGATATATTTGAATTGCTTGACTTTGATTTATACCCGAAACATCTTCCACCTGGAACAGCTTCATGTCCAACGATTCATATCGTGCCTCGATTCGTAGCAATGGAAAACAACACAACCTTCATTTGGTCTTCTAAAACAGTCCTTGCTTTCTTCCTTCTGCACGGAAAAAATAATATGTTCAGTCCAGAAGATGTCGAGAAAAACTGTGCGATGTCTGATGATGCCTTCGGTCGGACGATTGCAAAGTTGAAGCAGTCGATAGTCCTGAATCCAATGAAGAAGCCTTCCGCGTTAAGGGCTGACTGGTTTTCCAGAGATCTAGAAAACAAGGAGATGTTTCTGATTCAGAATACTATTCGATCCCAAAATTTTGCCTCCCCATTCCTTCCCCAGATTGCCGCTCTTGAGAAGAAAATGAGTCGACTAAAGCAAGAAAAAAAGGATTCTGGAAACAAAAATCCACATTACGAAAATTTAAAAGCCGAGTTAATAGTTTTGAAAGACAAGCACAGAGAAGCAAGGCAGCTGAAACTAAAACTACCAGTCAAAGACTACATTGACACTGGGCTCAAACCAGATGTGGTCGCTCATGTCGCTATGGCCATTATAGCCAGTCATCATATTCGCTATAATTTCTCGCTGAGCGTTTTCGAGAAAGTCATCGAGTACAAATTCAACGATCGGAGAATAGTGGAGTTGGCTCTTATTCATTCTTCGTTCAGGTCTTACTATGGAACAACACCTGATCATGTGAAGAATATGATAAGTAATTGTGGGTATCGAAAAAAATATGGTGCTGAGGAGAGAAGAGAAAAGAAGAAAGGTGAGATTTTGAAATTTTAAATCATTCTGAATAAATCATTCGTGATTTCCAGGAATCATAAGTCTGTTCAATATCATGGGCGGTGAAACATCCGGGGGAGAACCAATCTTGCACAATGAACGTCTCGAGTATCTTGGAGATGCTGTTGTTGAATTAATTGCTTCTCACCATCTCTTCTTCATACTCAATCATCACTTTGAAGGAGGTCTTGCTACTTACAGAACTGCTTTGGTGCAGAATCGTAATTTAGCTAAACTGGCAATGAACTGTAGAATCGATGAGATGCTGCAGTTTGCTCACGGAGCAGATCTAATTAACGAAGCAGAATGGAAACATGCACTTGCTAATGCTTTCGAAGCTCTGATGGCGGGTGTGTTCTTGGATTCAGGCATTGCACCGTGTGATGCAATTTTCTCGAAAGCAATGTATGGAAAGGATCCGGAGATGAAAAAAGTGTGGGATCATCTTAATGAGCACGAGCTCAAAATTGAAGATCCACTTGGAGATCGAGATTTATCGCGTATTACTCCAGCACTAACAGATTTTCATAGACTGGAACAAATCATTGGAATCGAATTCAACAATATACGACTCCTAGCCAAGGCGTTTACAAGGAGAAACGTTCCATTCAACGATTTGACTAAAGGACACAATCAACGGCTCGAATGGCTTGGGGACTCGGTTCTCCAGTTGATCATTTCAGATTATCTCTACCGTAACTTTCCACTTCACCACGAAGGTCACATGTCACTTCTAAGAACCAGTTTAGTCAGCAATCAAACTCAATCTGTTGTCTGCGATGATCTGGGATTTCAAGAGTTTGTAATAAAAGCGCCACATAGAAAAAATGATCTAAAAATGAAAGATAAAGCTGATCTAGTCGAAGCTTTCATCGGTGCCCTATACGTGGATAAAGGACTGGAGTATTGTCGAAGTTTCATTAGAACTGTCTTCTGTCCTAGATTAAAGGTAACGTTTTCTGAATAAAGAATAAATCCCCAAACGTTTTTTTTTCAGCACTTTATCAATAGTGAAAAATGGAACGATGCGAAATCTCATCTCCAGCAATGGTGTCTTGCAATTCGAGACTCGAGAAATCCAAATCCAGCTATGCCAGAATATAGACTTCTTGGGATTCAAGGACCAACAAATAATAGAATTTTCAGAGTGGCTGTGTATTTTAGGTATATCTACAAAAATAAGTTCCGAAAGAAATTATCTACTTTTCAGAGGTGAACGACTTTCCTCGGCTGCTGCATCGAACATGCATACAGCAGAGTTGAAGGCTGCAGAAAATGCCTTAGCTGCTCTTGAAAAGGCGTCATTCTCCAGAATGAGAGAGAAATACATGAGTGTAAGTTTAATAGTGATAGAAACATTTTACTAATCCCGTTCAAGATTTTTTAGGGTCGACAACATCGTCTCCATCGTATTTTCTTCAGCTAATTTTTTTTGCTAGTTTGTTCCAGTCTTTTAATTGAGATACTGGCAATTCGTCTTTACTTTGTTACAAATATTTATTTGATCGTTTTTATTGTGATAAATAAGTTACATTCGTTCTCCCAGAGCTGCCTCAATGTCCTTTTTCATATCTTTTGGATCAGTTGTTGGTCCCAATCTCTTGATGATCTTTCCATCGCGTCCTACCAAAAACTTTGTGAAATTCCATTTGATTGCATCGAACATGAATCCGCCTTTCTCATTTTTTAGGAAAGTGAATAGTGGTGATGCCTTGTCTCCATTAACATCAATTTTCTGGAAAAGTGTTGGCTCAAATTTGAATTTGTCTGCGACGAAAGCAGCAATGTCGACTTCGCAAGACGGCTCCTGGCCAGCAAACTGATTACAGGGGAATGCCAGAACTTCAAGCCCGTCTTTTTTGTAGCTGAAAAAAGTTTGGGTTTCCATGGAAGTGTTGAGAAACATCTTACACATCGAGCAATTCCTTAAGCTGTGTATAATTTTTGTTTGTCAGCCCACATTGAGATGCCACATTAACAATAATGAGCACTTTTCCTCTGGAATTTTATTAGCTGAAACAAATGTCCAAGAAGAATCGGACTCACTTGTATTGAGATAGTGTCACATCGTCACCATTGGCGTTTTTCACCGTAAAATCGTAGACAGAAGACATTCTGGAATAAGGAAAATTATAAAAAAGAAAAGTGTGTCTGTTGCTTATAAAGACAATTGAAAATAGGGGCAGAAAACAAATCAGAATGATGACAATTCAGAGCAAGGGAGAGGGAGGGCAGAGAACATGAAACGGCTGATGACTTTCTTTTGGAAACACTGGGGGAAAAGGAGGCAACAATGTAGGGTTTGTGACCAAAAAGTAGTCGCCAGGTGGTTTTGTTTGAGAAGGTTCAGATTTCTTTTGAGTGGTTTATAATTGGTTTTTCATTGATCAACCAGGTGAGATACTTTTTAGAATATTGTTTTATAGAAAAAAATGCAAATTAATATTATCGACTTGTATCATTCAAAAGACTGGTTTAAATCTTACTCTGCTGTAGATCTGGAACTTCTTTCACTTTCCGGAGAGGTGCTTCTAGACCTTCCACACATTCCTAGCTTCAACCAGAATATGTAAATAGGTGGCACTTCAAACCTGGAGATTTGCAAAAGTTCACTTAGCAAATATTTTTATTTGAATGCTTTTATTCCTGACAGTCCATATAAATTTCTGAAAATCAAAAAAAGAAACATGCAGATCATTAAAAGAACCGAGATATGAATGTTTTCTCACACAGAATATGACAATGAAAAGAGAAATTAAAAATTAGAAATATGATATCTAAAATGCAAAATTAAAGTTTCAACCCGTTTTCAGGAAAAAATTCAATATATGGCACAATGAATTATCTATACAAAAATGCGGTATATAGTTGAGAAAACCATCCGGGACGCCATACCATAACCAGGCAAACTATTAGAAATTGGAAGAACACGGGTTCGGTTGTACATGCATGTGCTCGAAGATCCGGTTCATAAATGAGAACATCGTCTATCATATGCATATATCCATTGATTCCAGCTATTTCACCCCCTTCTATCACTTGTGCTCGACGGTTTCCACGTGGCCAGTATAGCTCCCAAACTGCAAATTTGTCTCTTTGTTTGTAAAGGAGATTTCGACTATTCAAATGTTGTGAATTTTCTAATCTTTTGAACATTTGACTAATGGTATTAGGTCGGAAGGACTGTTGACAAATACAGTACTTCCTCTAATATAAGCCCACTCAAACCGTCAACTTTGAGCTCAATTATCTCGATCTCTGTCACAGATATCAAGGGTCGGCTTCTATCAGAGGAAATGCGGAAACAAGACTTGCAGCTCGAAGATCAAAATCAGGAAAAATACTAGTTTGGGAAATTACCAGAGATGTCCGGAATTACTTTTTTGAAATACGGAATCCGGAATCCGCAATAAAATAATTTTCTCGGAATCCGGAATCCGGACAAATCAAAAATTCACGGAATCCGGAATCCGGACAAATCAAAAATTCACGGAATCCGGAATCCGGAATACGGAATGAAACTAATTTTCCGGAATCCGGAATACGGAATCTGGAATGAAAAAATGGACAGAATCCGGAATCCGGAATGAAAAAATGGACAGAATCCGGAATCCGGAATGAAAAAATGGACAGAATCCGGAATCCGGAATGCGGAGGCCAGATTCCGGACATCTCTGGAAATAAAAGAATCTAGGAACTTCGAATCAAGTTTTAATTTTTTTAAAGAATTTTATAAAATTCAAAATTTCATCTCATAATCCTAAAATAAAGAATTTTCAAAAAGAATTTCGGAATCTTATAATCTCTTTTAAGAAATTAGTAGGTAAAACTCCTAGATTAACATATTTTTTAAAACTTACATCTTCCTCTTCTCCTAAGCACAACCTTCTCATCATTCATCATTACATACGTCCTTTCACGGAGATCAGTATACATCAGTGCCTGAAAGATTGAATATATTAAAATTTTAACCTAAAAATCGAAATATTTCAGTACATGTCCTTGAACAATATGTCTCTTATAAACATATTGTAGCGCTTGCCAGTGGCCTCCATCGTTCATTCGATTCACCAAAGTTGCTGGTTGCTGAAAAAATATACATTTATTTTGAATATAGCTTTTTCGGAACTCACTTTGTGCCAAGCTTCATTCGTCGGAACGAAAAATGTAAAGTTCTGTTCCGGTGTCAACACTTGCCATGGATCCATTGAATATCGAAGTTGTAAATTTTGCATCATATGGAATGAGCTCCTGAAAATACAGTATATTAAAAAAAGAAAAATAATTAGTGCTTACTGTAATCTACTTTCATTTCTCATAATTTCCCAAAGTGTCTGATATGGAACTCCTAGAACTCTTTCGATATAATGAACAATTCCATTTGTTGCAGCTACGTTATCCATCATAATCGCAGTTTTAATACCTCCTCCGATGACATAATATGCTGAGGAAAGTTATTAATGACTTCTAGTCTCATTAAAGGATCGAAGATACTTACTGACATTATTAGCTGGCCATTCTCCTTTTATAAAATACAATTGTCTCATATTATCAATTGTATTCACAATTGTCTCATTTGTGATTTCATCTGATGTCAATTCTTTTGCTGGGACTATATGAAGTTTCAGAATCTGTTCCAACCAAATTCTATCCCGAAGAAGACGTCTTTCGATTTGCTCCGGGATTCGATCGAACGCTTCATTCCACGGAGCAAAGAAGGTAACAAGTCCTCCAGTGGCCGAGAAATAGTTGCGAACGATTTGACCTGAAATTTCAAAGTTTAAGCTTTTTACTATTGATGTTTGAGTATTTTCAAGAAGGAGAATGTTTTTGGAAATACTTTTGAATTTTCAACACACTACAATCAGCAACACTATCAATTAGAATCTGTGTATTAGACAAAACAATTTAATTTTGGCTTTCTCAGTATAAATAGTCAACTTTGGAGTACTACAAAAGTGGTCCAGAATTGTTCGATTTGTCTGAAAATTTTAGAGCATACTAAACAAAAATAGAGCTTCAATTTCGTAATTGACAACTTTTTTGTACAAATACCACAAAGCAAGGTAAACTGTACCAAACTGGCATAACTACCGCATCTGCTCTAATGGACGCCCACCCAAACTGCCAACTTTAAGCCTAATAATCTCGATTTCTCTGAAAAATATCAAAATATTGTCAACAGATAAATATTCATCATAATATCAACAATATTTTATCACTTAACAAAACGTTCAAGTCTTTCACAGGAACCGAGGCAATTGAGCTCAACGTTGACAATTGTGGTGCGCTCCTATTAAAGGGCATACTGTATCCTTCCAGTGCTAACACTCTTATTTTCGTTATTTTTTTTGCTTACCAGTCAAAATGATATTTGCCGAAAAAGTTTTCAATTACGAAAGTTTTCCTTTTATGAAACTTCTCGATATATTTTTTAGAAAGATGACTATTTTACACTGGAAAAGTCAACAGGGGATTTTTTAGTCCATTTTGTCTGACAAAAAAGTTTGTCAGACAAAATTAAGTCATTTTTGAGGAAAACAAAAAATTCTTATCAATGGGAAGCAATATTTTTTGAGAGTTTTTGCATTTGAAGTGAACCCACTTTTTGAAAATCAAAAGATCAAAAAACGTTCACAACCACTTGAGACCTCACTGTACAAGTTTTTTGCACTCTTACCGATTGTATTGATGTATCTCATAAGAGTTGTAGTCTTTTCGTTTCTATAAATCATCATATCAATCGTCTCTGACACAATTCCAAGCACATTATCAATGATATGAACCACTCCATTCTGAGTTGGAATGTTTGGAACCAAAATTTTCGCCCAAACCGCTCCTCTTCTGAATTGAGAGTATCTCTCGTAGACTTCCGATACAGCGTATACTGAAACAAATTATATTGCACACTTCCAAAATGAGTTTAAAACTGACAATCCCATTTTCCAGTTCTTCTATCTGTGATATTTCTCATGACCAATTTTAATTTAAAGTTGTCTTCAATAATATTCGCCGAAAATCTGACAGATGGATAGTAGTGTTGTCCTCCATCGTATAACCATGGCCAGGTGAATAGAACTCGATTTGTGCTTGTGACATGAGCAAGAAGAACTTCACGATCAATGCGATTACGATCGACGACCTGAAATCGGATAGAGATTAGTTTCAGACGTTATTTTAAGAATAAATCACTCTGGCAAAAGCTGCATCGTTGGGAATGAAAAATGTGTGAAATCCATTCCAGGCAGATGATCCGTAGATGACGAGGGCAATATCAGGAGTACGATCGAGAATGTCTCGGATTTGACTGAAGATTTGAAATATTGAAGACAGTTTCTAAAGTTATTTTAGAAGTAATAAAAACCTACGATAAATCTCTGTTGTTATACTGTCGCTCTTCGAATACTGTAACATCGTGTTCTCGAATAAACGAAAGTGCAGTTCCCGGATATGGACGATGACCAATTGGAGTGCAAATCTTAATTTTTTTCAATTTTAAATTTTTTTAAATTTTTTCAATTTTCTTTTCGAAAATTACTTTAAACAGATATTGCTCTCCGGATATAATACCCCATTGGTTGGACGCATGATTACAGAGCATTCCAGCATTGGCGAAATAAGACTGAAATTTTCAAATTCTCCTGAAGCTAGTATACAAAAAAACGTACGAAATTTCCAGGATTATTCTCAAATTGTGTGATATATGTGTAACCTGAATTGATGGTTGATCGAATCAAAGTTTGCTTCTCCCAAACTTTATTCATCGTCAAATCGACTACTTGTGAATCGACTGAAAATATTTTGAAATATAATTTTAAAAACATATTGTTTCCGTTTGTATACCAATATGAGAAAGTGTTTCTTTCTGATCCAATGCTCTGATATCTGGATTATAGGTGAAAACGTCGTCGACTGGAGCGAATACCGTGATCCGGGCATTACTATCCTTCATGTAGGCGGTGGCAACAGCATAATATCCACACAGAGCTCGCCACTAAAAGTTTCTGTTAAAATCTATCAACTTTTTGGGTCGGATTCTTTGATTTCTGTGTAATCAAATCGAAAAATTTCAATTAAACAAATTTAGAAAAAAACAGTACTTGCTGGAGATCTGGCATTCGTTCGGTTTCTGCCCATAGATCAGATTTGACATGTTTAGGAATGATTAAAAGAAGAGAAATAAACAATAACATCTTGGTTACATGAAGAAGCAATAGTAATAGGAGAGGACGATCGATATGCAAGTGACTCAACCTGAGTCGACGGGGCTCGTGGGAGGAAGAACATGGGCGGCAGACGGTTTGTTTGATCAAGGAAAAGAGTATAGGGCGGAACGAGACTTTAGATTACCTGAGTTCGTCCCCCGTCTGCTTCATTAGCATATGACGACGGAAGCGATACAAACAGAACGGGTGGTGCTTCTCCCCTTACAAGACCCCTCGTCGTGTATGCCCCTGAAAAGCGAGAGAAAACAACATGCGAACAGGGTCGTCTATTTATTCTGTCAAAAACCGTACTGTTATCACGGTATTACACGAGGAAACAGAACGGATTAGCAGCAACACAACACTATACAAAATGAATTCGGAAGACAAATTGAGTTGAGCTATTAAATTATTGGTTGGCCTTTCTGAGTTGGTACTCGACGACGATGAATGGAGCCCAGAATCCGATGGCGAGGAAGGTGACAGCCTTGGCAGCAAATCCCCATTTGTTGGTGACGTGGAATGGAAGACGCTGAAAAAAAAAATCTTGACCCAATACTACTGAAATCTGAGCGCACTTCGTAATACAGTAACTATCATCCTAACAATAAAATGTTTGTTTTTGTTGAGGCTGTTTTTGACTTTTGAAACATTCAGGTTTAAATAAAAATAGTAAATTATACTTCTGCCTGTTCACAGACAGTTATTAATGATTGTAGCAATGTGCAGTTCATCATTAAAACGTCCTAAACCATTCACAACTCAAAAAACTGGGTTTAAATAACATAAACTATGGATGTTGAATTTATGAATCGGTTTTTTGAAAGAGTATCAGCACTAGAGCTGGACAAATATATTCAGTCCTTTGAAAGGGAACCAAAGAGACCCAAAAATCTTTTATTTCTCGGTATAGATCGGACCATTACGTTGTAGACAGAAAATCAATTCCAAGATATGTCTCGAAGGTAACCAGAAGATAATTTGGCTATCGCAGAACGGAAAATTAAATTTTACGGACTTGCCTGCTCGAACAAAGTGATTTGATTTGAATCATAAAACAAAGTATTTTTAAAACTCTCCAGTCTCTTTTCAACACGATTTCTCAAAAATTCAAATTCTTTTGAAGAAAACATGTTGCATGATTTTTTTTAGTAATATTGTAAATCTTACAGCGGATGCCCAACCATCGTTAACGAAAGTATTTGGTCCTTGTCCGGTGAAAGTGACAGCCGATGGAGAGTGGCTGCTGTGGCCCTTTCTGACGGCCTGAACAATTGGGCGGATAACTTGACGGCTCAACATCCTGTTGAAAAAAGAAAGATTTGACCTTATTATGTTTGAGCAAGAATTAGAGAAAATGAAGATCTGAATTCGTGGTATCTTAAAAATTTTTATACAAGATAATAAAAAATGCTAGTCATGATATAAACAAGTTTTCGAACGTATTTATGCATGCATGTAGTAATTTTTTGTTTCTGAAAATAAATTTCACGAATAATCTTAATACGAATCAATTTTTTTACAAGGTCCTATATTTAACTCGGTCGGGAAAATAGCTTGAGTGTATATGTTCAAAGATGTGTTTTGAAGTTAATTATCGATTAGGATGAGAAAAATTTAAAACAAAAACATTTTAAGCTTGAAATATGAGAATTTAAGCAGAAAAGTTGGGCAGTCCGATCAAAATGAGTTACTTTAGCTGCGGAGCGGTCGCGCGCTGCGTGCGCTCTAAAGGGGCGCACTTCCTGAAATTTTTTTTGTCAATTTTTTTTCAACTGAAATTCAGGTTTTTATTGAGTTCAAATTTTAATTTTTCTTTATGAAAAAAATCAATTTTTATAGCCAAAATGTCAAAACCGGGACGCCCAAACTTGTTTCTTGCCGGTAAACGAGAGGCACCAGTCCAGCAGAAACAAACCCGTGGAGGAGCATCTAATCGAGGAGCTGGAAGAGGGTAATTAATATTTAAACAGCCTTTTTATTCAAATTTATATTACAGTCGTGGTGGTAGAGGAGGCAGAGGTGGTGCTGGAGGTCGCCCAAGACAAGAGATCATTCAAACTGGTGGAGTATTTTCTCATGGGTTAGGAGGCGAATTTCCAACCAAAAAGAGGGACAAAGATTATGATGCATCTCGTGAGTATTTCAGTTATGCGCAATGAATAAGTGTTGTCATTCAGAGTTTGCTTATAAACGAGACAGAGAAAGTGGGGATCCATCGACATCGGACGAAAAAAAGGAAGAAATCAAAGTAGAAGGGAAGGCTTCATTTGAAGGATATGATGCCTTGTGGCGTAGTGACGATGAAGGAGATGAGGCTGAACTGAGAGCACTGCATCCTAAAGGAGTAAGTTGATGAAGTTTGCATAAAAACCAATATATTCTATCCATTCAGCAATTCGTCAGTGATTTGAGAAGAGGCCACGTGATGCCTGTTGTGCTTCCAGTAGACGATCAGTCACAATTTCTCAATATTATCAACAAAAGCGCTCGTCTTTCCTTAGAAGAAGATAACGAAATCATTGAAGAGGAAAAGAAACCTTCACAAAATACTGTTGACAATACGGCTCAGAAACGAACAGCTCAACAATTGATTACTATGCTGGAAAGTTCTACAACTGATTTGCTTCATCTTCAACTTCCATCAGTGGTGGGAGCAATTTGTAATAATATTGAATCTAACGTAGAAATTCCAATGGAGATTGACGATCCGGATAGTGAGATTCCTCCTGGCATTCCGAAAGCTCCAGCTCCACCGTCAGGTCTTCCCCAACGTCAGAGGATCGGAAAATTACAAGTTACTAAAAAAGGCCGATTGATTTTGCAAATCGGAGGGCATTCTATCGATATTACGACTAAACCGATTTCTGAAAAACAACAAGGGACTGTTCTCCTCGAAGCCGATCCAGCCGCCGATCAAGTCCAAGCGCCATCTCCATTTGCTCAGCCATCTACCATCGAAAACTCACTCTACCATTTAGGAAATGTGAAACACAATTTGGTTGGATCAATGGCATGGGGAGGATTGAGTGAAAAAATGGAAGAGGAAGAAGAGGAAAGGAAGAAGTTGAAGAAAACTACAATTGAAGATGGCGATGTTACAATCACCGATGGAGATCGGGAGAAAATTGAATCATTGGAAAGAGAGCAAGCGAAATGGGCAGTGATGGCTGCAAAATGGGCCTCTGGACTGTCAACCTCCTGACCCCAAAATTTCATTAACTACCATGTTTTACTACATTCAGTGTTGTTTTTGTTACCGATTTGTTGTTATCCAGTTTTTATTTCCCTTTCATATTTACCACGTTCCTCTTTTTTTTCTAATTTGTTCAGTATTTCAATTTTCATATAAACGCACTTTCAAATTTAACGACTATGCTGGTACATACTTTTTCAGTCATCAGAGAAACTTTTTTCAATTCAGAGTGTTAGCAGAGGACCCAGAAGACACGAATATCGATCAGAAGTTGAAACTATTTCCAGAGGACCCGATTTGCTCCTCAAGGCGACCGACGAAGTTTTCAGCAAAAAAAACAATGATACGACTTTGAAAAATCAATTTCAGACATCAAGCGACGGAGGGTCAACTTCTATAACAAAATCTGTTGAAGATACTGGTTCGAAAGATAAAAGTAGTCAATCTCTAGTTAGAACCCATCATGTTCTCAAAATAAAACTCAAAAAAGTTAGTTAATTATTCAGTGAAATAGTACTGAACAGTATAAAAAGTTCAGATAACGAATTGGAGCGGTTGCAGTGGAGCAGCCTTGGATGATGAGCCATTCTATCACGGTTACATGTCTCGTGAAGAAGCAGAAAAATTGGTTCGTACACAGGGAGAATTTCTTCTTCGTAAGACAGAATCAACGAAGAGAGGAGAAGTCGTTGTACTCTCCGTATTCTGGGATGACACTGCCAATCATCTAGTCGTTGAAAAAGCCAACAATGGCTCCTCGTATTATCTGAAAGAGTTCTGCTTTGAGAATATCAGTGACCTAGTCCGTTATCATCATCAGACACGCGCCTCCGTCTATAAATCGGGAATCAAATTGTTCAGTTGGGTGATTAGAGAGGAATGGCAATTGTATCATGAACAGGTTACTGTAGTTTTGTTTTGAAAAATATATTACTTTAAAGTGCAGATAAATTTGGGAAAGAAATTGGGTAACGGAGAATTCGGAGAAGTTTTTCAAGGCATGTTGTCAGTGGGGATATTCACAAACGATGTGGAAGTAGCGGTAAAAACAATGAAAGGAAGCAAAGTGACGGCTGATGAAAGGTTTGTTTTTGAAGAGGTTTAGATATAAAATACATATTTTTAGAATTAAATTTCTCCGTGAAGCGAATCTGATGCTGAAACTCAACCACAAATATGTCGTCCGTTTGTATGGAGTGGCAACTCAACAAGAACCAATTATGATTGTGATGGAATTGTGTTCTGGAGGAAGTTTAAAAGGAAGAATCGAGAAAGATGAACCAATGAGTTCCCAATTAAAACGAAAGTACTGTAAGCAAATCGCAAAAGGGATGCGTTATCTGGAGAAGAAACAAGTGATCCATCGCGATTTGGCAGCAAGGAATGTCCTGTTGGATAAATCAGACAATTGTAAAATCAGTGATTTCGGACTTTCTCTTTTTGGAAAACTGCACAAAGAGAAAAAATTGATGAAAGTTCCAATCAGATGGTTGCCTCCAGAGACTCTTCTCAAAGGAATTTATTCATCCAAATCTGATGTTTGGAGTTTTGGAGTTGTCATGTTTGAAGTTTTCAGTAGAGAATACCCGTATTCTGAAGTCAAGGTTCTGAAAGAGCTTCGAAAGAAAGTTGCCCATGAGAATCTTCGCTTGAAACCTCCATCCGATATGCCAGAAGAAGATATGAAAGTTATGCAAATGTGTTTTGAGCCAGTTGAATCACGAATGTCCTTTCTACAACTATGCAAAAAGTTTGTCTCTTTTCTCTTTTTGTTTTTTTTTGTCCCCTCATTTTGCCTTTTCCAGATACAAAGAACTGACAAGTCCACTGCCGACTTGGAATGGGATTGCCAACAAATTGATTGGGATCGGTACAGCAGTCTAAAAAAGGATTGAGAGAACTGAGATTGATTGGAATAAATTAGATTTGAAAGCTTGCATTGGTGTGAATATTTGAAACAATCAACGGCGGGAAAATTGACACAATTTAGGGGGAAAGAGAAAATTGAATTTAATACATCAGTTTGTTAGAAAAAAACGTAGGAGAACAGAGATTAATTTGGGTTTTTCTTTTCAAAACCTCAAAGTTCGAAAATTGTGAAACTGGAAGTTTGAAAGAAATTTGAAAAAGAATAAATAACTGTAAAGATCTGAAAACCTTGGATCTGATAATTTCTGACACATATTTGAGAGTTATGCCTCAGATTGGCGAGTTGATATTATCTCAGCTGGTTCTTGACTGAAGTTCATGGAAGATTGTCGTCTCGCCACCAGTTCAGCTACTTCAACAAAGTTTTATTTTTGAAAATTTCGGTCTTAGACACAATCAGATTCCCAAACTGACTGTTTTCTCAAATTCAGAAACGGAGAAATTAAAAAATTCTAAAATTCTAGAATCCTGAATTCCAAAATTTTTTTGAGGATGTCGAAACCGGATAAACGATGCCAGTTTTCAAAACGTTTGTTTCAGAGCAAGAGGTGAATAGCAGAATGGATAATATTCGTTTGCAAACAAATTTCCAGGTTACTGTAGTTGAAATCGAATACGCTGCATAAACTCATAATGGGAGAGAACAGGATTTCTGTAAATTGGAGTCGACTTTGTGAAAAACTTTCGGATCTTGATTTGCCTGTTACAGTCATAATCAATGATTCTAACTTCGAAGTATTCAGAGAAACACTGAAGTTAACTTGAAACAAACTTTCCACGAAAACTCTCTTCATAATAACTCACGATATGCTCTCGTTGTGCTCACGACTCGCAGATTTATCCTTTTTCGGTTTTGCTTTTTTGAGTTGAAGTTGAATGTTCTGTCATGTTGAAAGTTATACGATTCGAAACTCCAAAATGTCTTTTACAAAAAAATTAAAATACCTTTATAAAAATTCGAACCTTTATGAAAATAGTAGGAAAATAGGTAAAACCAGAAAACAAATTGAAAATTAAATGATGAGTCCGAAGGTGAAAAATCAATAATCAGAATTTGGCCAAGACTTGTAGCCTTCCGACTATGGGCCAAGACTTGTGGAAGCTATCACAACGGCTCAAGCAGGCGCATATTTTGGCCAAGACTTGTGGGAGGCTTGGCCAACACTTGTAAAATCATGAAATTTGGCCAAGTATTGGCACCCGCAGCCGAGATAATAAACCGTTTTTTGAAACATTTTTAGATTTTCGGTTTTCTGTTAAATTTTATCCAAGATAGCATAAACTGTCAAAATACGTCTCCCAAACTGCTTAAAACTTTCGAACAACAAAGGAAACCACCCGAAAGACCGACACAAAAACTGGAAGGACAAAGATTACGACTACGAACCAGGAATGCACGGACGCAAACATTTCGGACAACGGACACCGGAAAACGAACGACGGACTACAGACAACCTGCAACCTGACGACATCACGCAGAATCACAGCCGAAGGATGAAAAACGCGCAAAAGAAGCTGAGCACTTGGGTTCAAGCCAATGGGTCAGAAATCGCGCCCCAGTAAACGTGAGATTTTAGAAAAAATTCGCTGCTAAATTATGTGGCTGAGGATCAAACTTTTAAACGTTGCACGAAAAAATCACGCGTTGCAACTCGTTGATTAGAACTAATTAGGTCGAATCCACGTCAACTTGGAAATTATTAAATTTCTTCTGGCTTAAAAGTTATTTAGGGCGCGTTTTTTGACCCGTTGGCTTGAACCCAAGTGGCTGAGAAGAAAAAAATAAACACAAAAAAATGACCACAAAAAATAAAGTTCACAAGTTCTGACATCACGACGGTGACTCAATATCTCCTCTCCAGTGATATTCGGATCCTGAAATCAAACATATCTATGACAATTTTTTTTTCATTTTCGCTACCATTTTAATATACTATATAGTTATTTTTCGTAATTGTGGTAATTTTTGGAAATTTACAGGAATTTTTTTCAAAACTATAGGTTGTTTCATTTTTGAAAACTCGATTTTTACGACATTTTTCTTACATTTTCAGCTAAAAACAAACCCCCAACCCCCCACAAAAATATGCTTAGGCCAAAAAAGTAAAAGTCGAACATTTTAGTGGTACCTTTTAACTCCCATAACTCCCTTCAATTTTGAATAAAAATACCATTCCCTAACTTTTAACTTCTGTCATCTTGAAAGTGAATCCTGCCAATCCTGATAATGTCCTCAAAGCCCTGGAAGGTGGTGCAGGAAATCAACCAGTTTCTGAAACTCAAACATCTCAAGCTTAATAACGATTTCCTCTATTTTCACAAATTCTAGACTTCCCCGAAGATAAGATTTCCGAAACCGGGAAAATTTGAAAACTAAAAAACTCGCATTTCCTCACCTTTTCTTTTGTTCCTCTGCTTTTCTTTTGTTCCTCTTCCATGTAATCCTGATTCGAATCATGCCAATCTGAGCTCTGGAAACTGTCCCCGTAGTTGTTGAAGATTGTCCTGGAGTCCAAGCATCCCCTACAACTTGAAAGTTTTGAAACTATCGATTCCTGTTTTCTCATCTTTCATTTCACTCTGCGTTTTCTGTCATCTTGAATGAAATCACACCAATCCTGGAGTCTGCCTTGGACGCCGTCTGCGAAGTCCTCGGAGTTGTGGGGGGGGGGCATCCTGGAAGCCAAGAGGATCCTGCAAGATCCTGTAACTTGACCGTTCGAAACTAATACTGATTTTTCCGGGAATTTTCCCTTAATTTTCTAAATCCTGGACATTGCTCTCATTTCGTGGGGTCACACAGATTTGGCTTCTTGGAAAAGGAGTTCACGAGACAAATAACACTCTGTTCAATGTGGCAAGATGAATCGGGTTATTCAGGTAACCAGCAAAAAAGGCAAAAAAACATTGCGAAAACTATGAGAAGGAACTAATCTGGCTGAAACTTGGGGGAAAACTGGAGAAAGCTATAATAAACATGTTGTTAGAATGGGTCTAAATACCCTGATCGAAATTTTAGCTGCAAATGCTGACTGAAACTCAGAAGTAGAATCAAAAACACGAAATTCATGGTTCCCGTTTCGGCCATCAGTTGGTATCTTTTACGGCTTCAAAGGTTTATTAGGACAGAGAAAAGTAGAGAATATGGTAGACAAGGGACAAGGTTTAGGCCGAAGACGGGGTAAAAAGGGAAGTCCCGTTTAGCTGAATAGAAGACAGGAGACAGAAAGGGCACGTGGCATGAAGGGGGTTATAACCCATAATATTTATAAATAGAAAGTAGGTCATTGGGTCACGTATTTATTAATTCTTTATACGACTCTTGTCGTAACATTATCCCTCTGAAATCCAAAACAGCAAATTAGTGATATCCAGTCAACTTGGCTTTTCTCCTTCTCTTATTTTTTCATATTTCACTTCTGACTATTCATGAATCCTTGTCCCTTTTTCATAATAATACAAACCTTCCCACTTCCAGTTGACTATCGAATTCACATAAATCATCTGGAGACGCGTTGCAATGAAGTCAGGTGTAACACAATCATTTCCCCCTTTTTTTCGTCTTCACCTCATCGTTTACACCTCAATGAAGAGGCATCAGATAGTTGCTATCATCAAAAAATGCCCGTTTTGTTTCGAAGTCGATAAATTTCAGGTATCCATAGGAGCCTCCGGAAACGAATCCAATTAAAAAGTGTGCGCCGAGCGGAAATATTGGTATATATGTGTTAAAAGAGAAGAAATCGAAGGGGATTTCGGGAATTCAATTTGTTTCTTTTCCTCTTTTGTTGATTTGAAACCAACCAAAATCGGGATGTCTCTCCTTCTTTTGATATGATTATGATGATATCGGATAGAAAGAGAATGGATCATTACAGAAAAAGAGAAACTAGAGAAGAAATAGGGGCGGAGCTTAGGAAGAAAGACAAAGAAGAAGAAGACGTCGACGTTGGTTCGGTTTCTCTTTTTCTCTCTTCTCCTGACCCCAACATCAAGAAGCGTGTGCTGTCCAAGAGAAAAACTGTGGGAGAGGAAGAAAAAGAATCAAAAAAAATGCCACCCAATTCGGCACTTTTTCTATTAGCAGTAATACTTTTTGTGTCTCCAATTGATTCCAGAGGATTCTTTGGTATTCCAGGTAAGTTTCTTTTCTAGATCTCTTTCTTTCTTTCGTTTCGAATGGAAAGCCAAAGAAACGGGGACGTCTTCTGGAGGGCACGTCCCCAGAGGCAGTTTCTTGATGGATGACTCTTTGATTTAGGTGCTTCAACTTGTCGTTCTGTTTATCTTTGCTTTGAGTTTTTGGAAGAAGAGTGGGCCTAGATCAAAACAAAAAAGTAAACAAAAAAGATGCTAAACTATGATAGCATGTCAAAAATTTCAAGAAAAGATACGTTGTATAATTTTTTAGCAAAATTTGAATTCCCAAAATTATAAGAACATACAGATTGTACAGGGTGGCTCACAATTACCTGGACTGATAAACACAGGTATATCTTTAGACATAAGTATCTTGGAGGCACGAAAATCGGTAGAAATATAATTTTACATTTGATTCAAAGCTAATAAAATTTTCACAGCGATTCCTCAATTCTAGATATCATTCTTAGATAAATAAATGAAGTTGCCTCTCTTTCTCGATCTGTCCGAACACGTTGAAAAAGTTGAAATAAAATATAAATTTACGTGACCCTTTGAGTAAGACAGAGGAGCGAAGCGACGAACAGTGAAAAATATAGATTGAATCGCGCCGAAGGCGCACCAGCCAACTGTTTGAAGCGCCGGAGGCGCGGCAAACAGGCTGGTTGTTATTAAAGTCCAAATATGAACGGAGTAATGTTTCTTTGTGAATTTCATGAGATGAAGAAACCTTGACAAGCGATAACTCAGCTGAAAATTGCAATCCAAATGTGAGCCCAGTACAATGTTTTCCTCAATTTTTATTCTAGTATAAACTTGAGTCCGAGTAATTATGCGCTACCCTGTAATTGGAAAATCATGGAGTCATTCTTGAATTTTTTAAATTATGAAAATCTGATCAAATCTTCTTTATTTTGGATCCCAAACTTCCGTTTCTTCTCAATCCTTCACTCCGTTTTACCTCTAGCTATTCGATCATTTCTCCTTCTCCTTCATCCCCGTTTTTTTTTTCATAAAATTCTTTTGAAAAGACAAGAAATGGTAAAAGAGTACAAGAAACAAGGGAAACAGCGAGGGAAATCAAAAAAGAGGAGACAAGAAATAAATAACCTTGAATGGGTCTTGGTGATAACATTTTTTTGTGAAACCATATTGATTGATAGGTTTTGACAATTCGAAACTTGAATTTGAGAAATTTTGGAATTAGGAGTGACATTTAGCAAAAGAAGAACTCTAAATTTCAAAATTGATACATTTTGGCTTACACTAAACACTCTAATAGAATGTCACCCCAAACTGTCAATTTTGAGCCAAATATATCACACTTCCTGGGAAAGATCTCAAAAAATGGACAACTGACAAAATGTTTGTCACAATTTGAAAAATAATTTATTGGTTGACTCCTTTTTGATACCTTTCGCAGGAATTGACTGAAAGTTTAAAGTGAGGGACTATTACAGTGTTAACGTCAGATGCATACGAAGGGTCGTCCTACTGCAAGATCCATTTTGAACCAAATCTATAATCTAGATCCAAAAACTCATTTCCAGGCGACTACTGTTCGACACGGACCCACACATGTTGTGAAAATCGAGATGACGATTGTACGGTTCCTATTCTCGGAGACCATCTCTGCTACTGCGACATGTTTTGTGACCGTGGTCCAGACGGAGGTACTCCCCCTAATTCACTTTTTCTTTTTTTTCAAATCTTTGCATATTCAGGAAACGATTGTTGTCCGGATTTTGAGGCCACTTGCCGCGGAAAAGACATTCAAAACGATCAGAGGATCGATGGAGAAAGTTGGTTTCTTCAAGTTTTATTAGATTCGGATTTATAATAGAAGCAAACTAATGATGCTTTTTTCTTACAGGCTGCTCGATGGATGGAGACACTATGGAGAAAAACTGTGAAAAGTGGTGAGTGGGAGAGGAGGATAAAAGCTTTTGGGATTTTGATTCCGTAATAATCAAACTGAAATTATTCTTCTTTTTTGACAACTTTTCTATACACTGTCAGCTGAAGGGATACCGTAAACGCTCTAATAGAAGCCCTTCCTATACATATATCTCATTTCCTGTAACATATTAAAAAACGGTCAACTGACAAAATGTTCATTAGATTACCAGAAACATTCAGTCAGTTAACAACTTTTTGATATCTTCCGCAGGAAAGGAGATAAATTGGCTCACAGTTTACGTTTAAGTTTTGAAGAGGCGCAGACAGTTAGAGTGTATCGTTGTCTACGTCTCTGACAATGTCCGAGTTGAATGAGTCTTTTTTGGCTTCCGGATAAGTTAGGAATCTCGTTATTCTAATTGATCATTAAATGAGATTCACTATTCTCAGCTTTTCAGAATTTTCTGAAGTTATAAATGCAGACCCATGTATGTGTTAATTCGGCCCATTTTGAACTTTTCTAACTCCGAGGGACAAGTCTCATCTTGTTAAGAATGTAGAACTCTCTATTCTTTTCTGTTAATTATAAAACTGCTTAACTAGTTCTAGCAAACTTCTATGAGATCGAAGTTTACAATAATGTTGTTTCACTAACAATTAAAAATTCTTTAAAATTTTTTTGGGACTAAAAACTTTAGGTGCAATCATTCCGATAGGGATTTTGAATTGGACTAAACAATTTTGTACGTTTTTACCTGTTTTTCATTTCTTGAATAGATGAAAAACGGGGGAAAACGCAACAGTTACGAACCATTGATTTACCAATTAGCCGTTAATGAGTAGTGGTTTTATAAAATGAAAATTTGGTTTTGTTTTTTATTGAAATCGGAAAAAGGGATTATTTCAGTACATGCCAAAATGGAATGTGGAAGTGTGATGGTACTGCCTGCCTTATCCAACCAGATATTCTGGAAAAACTACACACTGGAAGATTTTCGTAAGTTTTAATTTATATTCTAAAAGAGATTTATTGCTTTTTGAAAGTGATTTTAATCCACCAATAATCGCTTCTTTCTCGTCATTTTTCTTTCTTTCTCAATTCCAAAATTCTTGCTATCATTGTCCTTTATCATTTTGTTATCAAATGGACATCTTGACACACTTCTTCTTCTTCCTGGCGCGTATCCGACGGACGGTCTCTATTACATAATAACCGCCCCCATCTTCGTCTCAATTATCACCCCCCCCCCCCTTATCACTTTCTCAATTGGATTTCTCTTTTCAGATGGACTGCCCGGAACTATTCGGCATTTTGGGGTCGAAGTTTGAGTGATGGAATCAAATATCGATTGGGAACACTGTTTCCGGAGAGAAGTGTTCAAAATATGAACGAGATTTTGATTAAGCCAAGAGAGCTTCCTGAGCATTTTGATGCCAGAGATAAGTGAGTTGGAAGGGAAAATTAAGAACAAGAGATAATAAAAAAATGTGGAGGAGACTGGAATGGCTCAAATGAATTTTTTTAATGTGCAAAAATTACAAAAATTCGACAGACTTAAAATAGGCATGTTGAGGAAGTTCACGGTCTCCCCAGCTCCCAAAATGAACTGCAAGCCTTTTTCTCAGAGGAGCGCGGTTGCGCGCGGCGAAAATTTTTGTTTGAAAAATGTTGCACTGAAAACGCGGTTTTCAGCGAAATTTTCTCATTTTTCGACAATTTATTCAATTTTTCGTCCATAGAAATTGTTAAACAGGCTAAAACACACATTTTAAGTACAAAAGCAGCTAGTTCCGACAAAAAATGAAAGAGGAGATCGACCTTGAAGCATTTTTCGAAAAATTGCGGTATCTTTTCTCACCGCGAGAGATTTTTATCGAACAATAGATTGAAACACTCAAAAATAGATTCTTTACAATAATTTAACAGAATAAATTCTTAAAACACCGAACAATTTGAGAAATTTCCGTTTTTAGAAAATTGCTTCAAAGTCGATCTCCTCTTTCATTTTTTGTCGGAACTAGCTGCTTTTGTACTTACAATGTGTGTTTTAGCCTGTTTAACAATTTCTATGGACGAAAAATTGAAAAAAATTGTCGAAAAATGAGAAAATTTCGCTGAAAACCGTGTTTTCAGTGCAAAATTTTTCAAAATTGCCGCGCGCAACCGCGCTCCGATGAGAAAAAGGCTTGCAGTTAATTTTAAGAGCTGGGGAGACCGTAAAGTTGAACAAAATGGTAAACAACCGATTTTCAATTGATACGAATTTGAAATTAACGAATTCCCAGAATTTTCCACTTTTGTTTTTTATGTCAATTTTGAAAATATAAGATTTCTGGGTCCTCACATTTATGAAGTTCTTGAATTCAGATTCTCAGAATTTTGGAAGAAATTCTAGAAAACAAGAAAATTGAAAAAATTGGAAAAGCAAACGTATAGAAATTCTAATTATTCGAATACGAACTGTTCAGAAATCCAGGTATCAGGATTGCAAAAAAAAATTCACAATCAGAATTTGAGAAATTTCGAAAAGTCTAAGTTTTTCTGAATTTTGAAACGGAAAATCGCGAAGCTTTAATTTTTGGATGTTTTAAAACTGTGATTTTGTGCGACGGATAGAAACTCCGAGAAATTCAATTCAAGTGTTTTGTCTATTCCAGTATTTTAGAATTTCTGATTTCAAAACTAGAAAAAAAATCGTTTCGGAGTAATCCTATTCTGAACAATAATCATTTTACATCTGCCCAAAATCCCTACCGGAAACGAGTATGGTCTTCCGCAGAGTCCGTAAAACTCATTTTGTTTGTAACAATTAGACTAATAATACTATTAGACTAATAATACTAATAATATAATAGGACACTTCACTATGATTTAGGGAGCAAACGACAAAATATTCTTTACCCAAAAGTTTTGAGCCAAAGCTAAAATAATTCCAGATGGGGGCACCTGATTCATCCCATCGCTGATCAAGGAGATTGTGGAAGTAGTTGGGCTGTTTCCACGACTGGAATCTCTTCGGATCGGTAATCTCTCAACTTCTCCAGATATTCACATACTTTATGACTTTTAGACTTTCCATTATTTCGGAGGGTCGAATCAATGCATCACTTTCGTCGCAACAGCTTCTTTCATGCAATCAGCATCGACAGAAAGGATGTGAAGGTGGATATTTGGATAGAGCATGGTGGTATATTCGAAAATTGGGGTTAGTAGGAAAAAACCAACAAAAAGAAAAATTTGATACATTTTTAGCGTTGTTGGAGATCATTGTTATCCGTATGTGTCTGGACAAAGCCGTGAGCCGGGACACTGTTTGATTCCAAAGAGAGATTATACGTAAGTCAGATTAATTAGGTTTTGACCAGTTAAGAATTTTATAAATTTCAAATACAAAATAAAGTTTTTGTTTTGGGGAGAATCTAAATATCTGAAAATGTAACTAGATCACTCTACTTTGGTTCAATAACACATTAAAAATATACAGTACTGTATACAGTAAAGACTAACAGAAGCCCTCTCAAGCGGTCAACGTTGAGCTCAATTATCTCGATTTCTGTAAAAAATATAAACATTTTGTCAACTGATAAAATATTGGTGATTCTATGATAAATGATGTATCAGTGGACAATTTTTTGATATTTTCTGAGATAAATTGCCTCGAAGTTGAAAACCTGGGGAAGATTTATAAATCCATATCAGAAACTTAATATCTTAATTAATTTTTGAGTAGCTCAATTTTATCAGCCATTAGTATTTTTATTTTGCAATTACCACTACAAAAAAAAACTAAACCAATTTCCCAAAAAAAAAATTTTCAGAAACCGCCAAGGCCTCCGTTGTCCAAGTGGTTCCCAGGACAGTACCGCATTCAAAATGACTCCTCCATACAAAGTTTCGAGTCGTGAAGAGGATATTCAGACGGAATTGATGACAAACGGACCAGTTCAAGCCACTTTTGTAGTCCACGAGGACTTCTTCATGTATGCCGGAGGAGTTTATCAACACTCGGATCTGGCTGCTCAGAAAGGAGCATCTTCTGTGGCGGAGGGTTATCATTCGGTTCGAGTTTTAGGGTTAGTTTTATAAAATTAGAAGTTTCGCCTTATGGATTTTTTTTCCAGATGGGGAGTAGATCATTCGACTGGTCGACCAATCAAGTATTGGCTCTGTGCCAATTCATGGGGAACACAATGGGGAGAAGATGGATATTTTAAGATTTTAAGAGGAGAGAATCATTGTGAAATTGAGAGTTTTGTGATTGGTGCATGGGGCAAAGGATCCAAACGACGACGACGATTCAAGATGCGAAAGCTCCGTCGATTCAGAAAAATGTTCAAATAAATTTTGTGATTCTCAATTTTCAACTTTTTATTTCGATTCTTTTCCAGTTTCTCTGCTTTCCCCCGTCTATTCTTTCTATAATAATCTCACTGCCATTGCAGGGTTTTTCAATCTCTTTTCATTCTTCTCGTTTTCTTTTTCCTCCGCCCCTTTTTTCTCGCCCCAACTTTTTTTCTTCACCTAATAAATAGCTTTCGACACGTCATAACTGATATGTTTCTGAGTATTCATCTATTTACTTTTTTCTTTTATCACAACTGATCGAGAAAAAAAAGAAATAAAACCATTGACACCTTGTTTTTTTTCTTTCTTTCTCGAGACCACACCCTTTTGGAGAAAACGAAAATGAGAAAAAAGATGAAAGAATTCTGAAGAAGGTGATTCATTTGTATGGTATTCATGCTTTCTTTTTTCTAGGTTCCTAATTTCAAAAACTCGTGGCTATTTTTTCTCGGAATGCTCCCACAGCGAATGTTTACGGGGTTTTTGAGAGCAGAAGCACGGGACGGGTGTCGACAGAATGTATATAATAGTTTCGATAGAAAATGGGAAATCATTTAATGACTGTTTATGTCTATTTATAACTTCCAATTAGTTCAAAGGAAGACGACATTTGATAATACCGTACTTCCTCTAATAGAAGCCTACCCAAACTGTCTTTTTTTGAGCTCAATTATTTCGACTCCTGTGAAAGATATCAAAAATTTGTCAACTAACAAAATATTGGTGACTTTTTGTTTAATAATTTAATAGTTGACAAATCTTTCGATAATTAAGCTCAAAGTTGACGGCTTGGGTTGGCTTCAATTAGAGGAAATACGGAAAATTTAATGTTTCTCTGAAATTTATTTTATCCTTGATGATGTCTGTAAGGGCTATGTTTTGCAATTATTGACTAGGTTATCATATATTGTGCAAACTTTTATTGCAAATGATTGTTTTTCCAACTTTAGAGGATTACGGTAGTTAAGTGTCTTTGATTATTCACCAACTTACCGGAAGCACTCTAAACGAAAACCACGCAAAAAGTCAACTCTGAGTCAATCTGAGCCAAAAATCTAGGTTCCTGTTAAAGTTATCAAAAAATAATCAACTGACAAAATGTTTACAATAATATCAAAAAAATTTTGTCAGTTGATCACTTTTTGATACCTTTTGCAGAAACTAAGTTAAATTGTAACAAATTTGAACGTTTCGGAGTGCGTTTTTTTTCGGTACCTTGACATCAATCAGCAGTTGAAAATATGACGTATTATGAATCGGTCAGAACAAGGTGTTGAGAAAAAATCGCGTTTCAAAAAACAAAAATACATCTTTTTTTGTGTTTTATTGTACCCCAAAGCTTATCAAATTAATGACCATTTTTTTCAAAGTTCAACAATGCATTTCCATGTAACAGTAGTTTGTATTCTGTAGATGCTGGATGGTCATTGTACCTACAGTAAGACAACTAAAACTGGGAGTTGATCAATTGAATGGCTATGGTAAATAACTACGTCAACCGAATCCTTCCTCTGAACATGACCTTAATCAGTAACTTGTTCATTAAAAGTTTTGTAAACAAGGAAAGATAAAACCCCCGGTAAAGGGTTTTTCCTCTTCCATCCAGATATTTCATCTAATGATTCAAAATTGAACTAGAATCACATGGTAAACGCCTCTTTAGTATCAACAGGTAGATCAATTGGGTGACATGTGCCTCTCTCGATTCTCCATGATCTTTTCTTTAGAATTCTGACTCATTCTACTCAAAACCCATTCCTTTTGTATCTCTCCATCCCATCCCCTTTTCCTATCCTCTTCCATTTTTTTCCGTCGATGACAAATTATCGCCTGAAAAATGTTAATTTGATATGACACTGTTTTGGCCTTCTGTCTCTCTCAGTGATAGGAAGACGTCGAATGAAGAAGAGAATCGATATCGGGGGGAAGCTCCGCCCCAATTCTTCTTCTCTTCTCGATTTCATCGCTCATATTTTTGCTTCTTTTTGTTTTTCATTCTGAACACTTCTTCAGACGAGAATGATTAACATCTTCAATTCTCCGATTGATGCAACACAACTCGATGAATTTGCTCAAGGAAAGCAAGATGAAAACGGAGGAGAAGAAACTGTATTCGATGTGGTAAGACAAATATTTAATCCCGTATATCCTCTAATGAAGTGCTACTCGAACCGATATTTTATTGGTTGACCACTTTTTGACATCATTCACAGGAATAGAGATAATCAAGCTCAAAGTTGACGGTTTGAGTAGACTCCTATTAGAGCAAATACGGTGCAGTCAAACATTTTCTAAATGCAGTCAAACTTTTAAAAACTTTTTTGCTTTCATTGTTTTCTGATTTCTGAACATGTTAGAAAAAAGTTCGAACCTTCTTTCTGAATTTTTTTTCAAACTTTCATTTACTTTTCGTCGAATTTCGGTTCTGAAAGAGCATTGGTTAGAAACTGTTTTTTAAGTCGGCGAGTTTGTTCAAGTTTCTTCCGGTTTCGTTTGCATAGGCTTCGTTGAGATTCTCAAAAATTTTACAGTTTTGAGTTTAACTTTTCTGAACCTAATGTTTGATGCTCTGAAGTTTTGAATCAAGATAAGCTATATGTCATTTTAAATGCTTCAAATAGAGAATCGCGATCAATTTCAGCACATTTTCCAACTTTCGCTCCGACTTTGTTTTCAAAATACCATAAAACCTGTAACAGAAGCCCCCCCCCTTTCAAATCCCCCCCCTTTCAGTTCCTATGAAAGATATCAAAGCTGTGTCAATTGATACAATGTAGCTGGTATTATGATTAACATTTCGTCAGTTGATCTTTTTTCGATATCTTTCACCGGAACTGAGATATAAGGGCTCCAAGTTGAAAGTTAGGGGGCTCTTCTATTACAGGTTTTAGGGTATCTCAATTCCTATGCAAGATATCAAAAAGTAGTGAACTGACAAAATACTTCTGATATTATGATAAACAATTTATCAGTTGGCAACTTTTTCATATCTTTGACAGGAACCGATATAAGCTGGTTCAAATTTAAAAGTTATGGAAGTACAGGTTTTACAGTGATCGTTTTTTGTTTTCAGAAAGTTTTATAACCCATTAGTAACCATATTTTGCTTTCAATTAAAACAAACAACCAATCTGTTTTTTCCAAATAGTTAATCAATTCCGAAAACAGTTCTTGTTCTCTCTATCAACCATTTTTGTTCCTCATTTGACGTCATCCGCATTGATCTTTCTATCAAATAATCTCTGCAATCAGAATGTGTTCTTTTCACTAATTAGTTGAGATCAATTCGTGGTCTGATTCATTTTACTTGAAAAAAGTTTTTACTGAAAATAAAGTAAAACGAATAAATAAAAGCTTCTAAAATCTCAAATTGAAATTTTCAGAAGAAAAGAAAACCACAAGTCACCTATGGAAGCGACGGACGACGAGTAAGTTGTCGAAAGATGGCTCTATTTAAAAAACAATATTCAGATGTTGGACGGAATCGTTGAAGATAAACAAGAGTCGAATGCTCTTTGGACGACTACAATCTCCAGAGGAGTCGCCAATGAATGGCGTGAAGAAGCGACTGGAACACGTCTTCAGAAGACGAAAAGATATAGTGAGTTGATATATTTTGTACCTGGAAATGATCACTCGGGTTTGGTTTGAGCCTATATCTACAGTAATTTTATTTTTGAATTGCGCGTTTAACTTGAAAATGTAAATGTTTAGAAGTCTGAAGAAGTACTATTAAAAGTAGTCATGAACAAAAAAGGCAAAACTCCATTTTTGGATTACTGTAGTTTTTCCTACGGTTACTGTGGGTCTTTTTGTTTGTAACTACAGTAATCCTACCCGATTGTATTATCTACAGTAATAAAGCAGTTTAGAAGTCTGAAAAGGTACCATTTAAAAAAGAGTGTCGGTGAAAATTTCAATTTTTGTAACCTCAAACTCGTTCATTCCCTAGAAAAAAACTCGGTGTAGAAAGTATACATTTAAATTTTTTCAGGCGAAAAATATAAATTTCTTTGATAATAAATAACTAATTTGCTGACTCTAGAATCTATCGTATTTCTGCCTATTGTTGTCGTCCCAAAGCCCACCCAAACCGTCAATTTTGAGCTCAATTATATAAATTCCTGTGGAGGATATGAAGAAATTGTCAACTGATAAAATGTTGGTAATATTATGATAAGCAATTTATCAGTTGACAAATGTCTGATATCTTCCTCAGGAGTCGAAATAATTGAGCTCAAAGTTGTGAGTTCCCCACCGTCAACTTTTTGAGCTCAAAGTTAACTGCTCATCCTATTAGAGGAAATACGGTATTTGGAAAAAAAATTTATTTGAATGTCTGTATTGAAATCAATTTTTGAAATTATACAGATTAATCGGTTTAATATTTCAAAAAAACGTTCTCTGAAAACTTGAGCCGAATTTCGGCAAGACTCCAAACTTTTTTTTTCTGGACTTAAGTAATCACGCCTCGGAATGAAGCTTTTCGAAACTCAAAAAATTCCTTTCTGCCACATATTTGATCTGTAATAAACATTTTTCTCCACAGAAAAGATCTTTGTATTTCTTGACCAGTTTCAGCTTATTACTATAAAACCGAACTTAATTGCGAAAGTAGCTCGAACGAGGCGAAAGTCTGAAATATTACGTTTTTTCCCGCACTTTTTCGTAGATCAAGAAAAGCTACGCCTTTCAGATTCTCAGGTCCCACTTTTTTAATTCGACAATAGGAATCGAGTAAGTTATTCGATCTAATTCCGAATAGTTTACCTGAGTATGGTGGTCTTCTATTAGAGTATTACGGTGATCCAAAAGTTTCCTGACCAACATTTTCGATTCGCCCCCTAACTGTAAAATCTTCTTTTCCTCTGATCTGCTTAGAATGTGTACTACTTGACGTGTTATCGAGAGCCCCAACCAACAAAGGGATTATCTTATTTTCGAGAGAGATATATCCAATAATAGCAATTGTTTGAAGATTTCTAATTTTTCTGAGGGATAAAGAATGGGATAGAAAACGGGGATTATGATTTTCGTATAGATGACATTTACCAAAAATCCTACGATGATTAAAGTGCTTAGTTTTCGACAGAAAACAATATTTTATAAGAAAATTTCAGTCTACAAAGTCTCATACGATGCTCAAGTACTGGTCCGTCAAACGTATCGTCGCCATGCCACTCCAATACTGATCGTCACAAATTTGACACTATTCCTTTTGTTTATGTACATTTGCCGATTATTTCCATTCAATAAATAAGTTGATAGTTTAGAATGTATTGATCACAAATTTATGTCAAGGAACGAAGAGAGGAGGAGAGAGAAGACAGAGAGGAACCCACAGGATTTTACAGTGAATGAAATCTGGGACATATATATTAATAGTGGTATAGATAGGTTTTGATGATACGAAAGTTTATGTCAGAAAGTTTTGAAATTCTTGTGACAGAAGAGAAGAATGAAGCATACTTGTAAAATTCCGGGCCGGGCCTGAGGAAATTTTCAAGGCCCGGGCCCGGCCCGGAAGGCCCGGTGTCAAAAATTCTGTATTTTTGAGCCAAATTTTGAGCTCTCAATATAATTTTTTCCATTTTTTTTTCGTATTTCGGATTGTTTGTCTGTTTGATCAAAAAAGATCGAAAAACTCGAAAAAAAAATATTTTGGTCGAAAAAAATCACATAAGGGTCCCCCCTTATGTGTTTTTTGAAAATTTCGAAACTAGTGAAATGACGGGCCCGCCGGGACGGGCCTCCGAAATTCCGGAAAAGCCCGGCCCGTTACAAGTATGGAATGAAGGGGAAATGAAGTGGGCCAAAAGTTTGGGGGATGTTTTACTAAAATTACAAGATGGAGCCTAATCAAGGTGAGAATAATACCTTCACACGCATTCAAACAGGACAAAGTTTAAATTGACAAAGTTTGCAATTCTAACAGGGGAAAACCATCCAAAAACGTTGTTACATGACCCGGAACTTCGGGAGGATAACGTTGAGAGAGCTTAATGGACTTTTAGAGAAAGTGGAGACGTAGAGAACACTGGAGTCGAAGCAATCGAAAGAGAAACAATAAACGGGCCACGTAGTTCCAGAATGATATGAGAGGATAGGAGAGAAGAGAATTTCAGAGTGAGGGAAAGAAGAGAGCACAAGGAAAATAGCACAACTCTATTCCAGACCGGGAACTAAGAATACCTAAATAGACGCAATATAAATCAAAAAAAACACTTGAAAAACAAACTACATTTCTGTTTTACTTTCAAACTTGATGATGATGTTGACGAAGAATATGAAAAGAAAACAAGAAAAATGAACACACGATGTAGTTTCTTTTTGAAAATAAGTAGACAAGAAGACTAAGAAAAAATGAAGATGGATGGGATGGAACGAGAGAGAGAGAGAGAGCACTCTCACAAAAATCGGGACAAATACGGAAAAGAAATATTTAGAGTTATATGATTGTGATAAATGAGAAAAAAACTTGGAGAAGGGGAAAAAGAGATGAGAATTTGTGGAGAGAGAGTGAAACGAACAAGTGCAATGACGATGAGACAAATTAAACATCTGAGAAGATGTAAAGGTTGTTAGTGGCTGCAAGTGCAATGATATTATCCTTTGGATGCCAAGCAGTGTGCAAAATCTTGCGATCGAATTGAAGTTGGTCTGATGACAGCTCCTCCTCGGTCTAAAAAAACTTTCTTTTGTTTTACAACGATCAAAGGTAACTAACCTGTTCAGGGGTTGGTGGTACATTTGGTCTCTTCCGCTTAGCGGACGGAACGACGGATCGAGATCGAAGCTGAGAGTAGGGTTCTTGCGGTCGAGCTTCCCATGTCTTCGAATCGCCGTCGTTGCCCCGAGCGTATGTTCGGAACAAGTTGTGATAGGAACCAGTAAGAATATGTCTGAAAAATAAACAATTTTAAACGAAGAAATCTAATGGTGCTTACTTATCGTCACCACTCCAATCGCACTCGAATTTGTCAAAAATCGAATCGTTTTCATAAAGTGCGCATAGTTTAGTACGTAGATAATTATGCACTGGGTAGGTCTCGACGGGCTGTGATTCCATATTCAAGTCCCAAACCTAAAAGTAATAGCTAATTAAAGTTGTTTTCAATAAAAAGCTCACCTTTACAGTGAGATAGTCTCGGGTTAGCAAATATCGCCCATTGTGTGAAAATTTGACGTCACTCACAGAAGCGATAATCTCTGAGAAGAAAGACCTGGATTGTGGGTCTTCTGGCTCTTCGAAAACTGAAATTCGATACTACTTTTTTTTGTTACCAAACGATTTATCATACTTTTAGCATATGCATCACAAAGAGCCCGATCTCTCATATCACACAATCGGATGGATCCTTTTGATGACGAGTAGACGAACCAGTTACATTGAGTTGGGTGGAACTCTGCGGCAGTAATGACTTCCGTTAGTTCCTCCATATTGGCAGGTTTGATATCGACTATGTCTGGAACACGAACGATTTTCAAAAACCTCTGAGATAACAAAATTTACTGAAAGACTCATTGGTGATCTCTAAATTCCAGAGATTGACTCGTAGATCATCGGCAGACAAGAATGTTTCCTGTAACAGAAGGTTTTGAAAACTGGAAGTGGGAAAAAAATTAATACCTGATCAGAATTAACCGAAATACTGTTGACATGATAGGTATGAGCGTTTCCATAAACTCGTCGAGGACTCGCTTCAACTATCAATTCCATTGGCACAATCGAAGGAATTTGAAGACGACCACGGAAAGAAGTTGTGCTGAAAAATATGTCGGTTTTTATCGAAATTTTGTTTTGAGTTATACTTGATTCTGTTTGTTCTCGGCAGGTTCCAAGCATCCTCTCCAATCTTACGCTCTCGTTCGCTTATTTTCCAAAGTTTGATAGTTTTGTCGTTTGTGGAAAGGATGAAATTGGCTGCGTTCTTTTTCTTTAACCACCGAATCTGGTTGATCTTCTCATCAATTTCTAGAGATTTCAGATAGTCGAATTCCGGTTCATGGGATTGGAATGTCGAATAAACATTGTACTCCCTAGACCTGACTCCTTTGACATACTTCCCCTGAAATAAAACAAATTTAGTTATTTTCGAAAACGAAGAACATACGCTCTGATCTCTTTGAAAAATTACTACCCGGCCTCCTTTGTCTCCAGTAGCCAGATATTCACCATCATGTGAAAATTCCACACACGAGATGACATCAGCTGTAACTACTACAACGGTCTTGTTACAACGGTCCCTTATAAATAGCTTACCTTCAGTGTGGACCTCGGAATCTATGTTTCCTTTCACTTGATTGAATTTCCAATTAATTTGGTCTACAGCCTCAAAAGTTTGATCGGCTTCGATGGGCCCTTCAGAAGTGTCCATCTCGACGTCATTATTTTGAGCTTCATCCTGCTCATCTTGAGATGTAGTTGCCGCAACTGCTGGTTCGTCGACCTCCATGACCATGACCAGTGTAATATGCACTAGTTTCTACTTAACTCTCTTCCCTTCTCAATCACTGGATGTGACGAAATTAATAACAATGGTCGAGACACGGAATGTCGACTAGTATACTGTATCTGAAAAAATCAAATGACTTGAGAGCTACGCAGTTCGATAAAGAATAGTTCAAAGAAAACGAGGAAGCAAGCCGTAAATATCTCGGACACCGGTTGCTAAGCAGCAAATCTACTAGAGAGCAACAAGGAAAAACTTGCACATGCAATTATTATAGAAAAAGGACATTTTGTCAGAAATGTCCACGGCATCGTTGAACATTCTTGGGTGTAAAGTGTGTAAATTGAGAAAAGATGAAAATGACTGTTGAACTAAACTGTACACCAATAAGAGCGTATAGAGAAGTGAAAACAAAGAACGTTGGTTGCGTACGCATGTGGCGCGACTACTAAAAATGACCGAGAATCGTGATGATGATCATCGTCAAGTTCCCGTTGAATTCAGTTCTGCCGGTGCAGTGACAAATGCAACGACGCAATTTGCATGACAATCGGGCAAAAAAAGGTTCAACAAAGCGTGATTTCGATGAAGCTATAAGTTTCGAGACCCCGGAAATTCCGGGTAAAAAAAACTCCGGAGAGNTGAAATACTTCGGATAGTTAAATGAAATGAAGTACGTGATTGATGTATGTTTCCTGCTGATTTTTGTCGTTATTGAAATAATATGTACAAAGTTTCTGTTTCCGATCGTTTTCTCAAGTCAGAAAAAGGATCTATTTCAAGAAGAGTACTGTAGACTACTGTAGATGGAGGGAGAAAACTCAAGAAATCTGATGAAAATACCTTATGTACATTTGTGCACCTTTTTTGCAACAATATCAAACAAACTGCCTT